GATTGTGTATCGACTAAATCGCAAAATTACGGATGATTGTGGAACAATCAATTGAATGGAACTCACCACTCCACATCAACACCATTGACTTCGACACTACGGCGTGCCTGACAAGAAAGTCAACCTCATAGGTTGATGATGGATTAAACTGCAAAATCATGCACGGACGATAGTTGACATACTCGTTGGAGATGAAGACCAATGTCAGGCGAGGTTGCCTTCCCTCCCTCTTTCTCTTTCTCCTGGTGATCGACTGGATTGTGAGGACATCAACATCTGGAGGAAACTGCGGCATCCAATGAACAGCCAGGATGCAGCTGGACGATTTGGATTTCGCAGATGATCTTGCTCTTCTATCGCACAAGCAACAACAAATGCGAGGAAGACGACCAGTGTAGCAGCAGCCTCAGCAGTCACAGCAACAGCCGGTCTCAGCATACATAAATGGTAAGGCAAGACTCTGCGATACAACACAACATGCGCGAACATATCTCTGTTGACGGAGATACCTTGGAGGACATAAGCACCTGTGAATATCCGAGCAACATCATTGACGAGGAACGTGGATCTGATGCAGATCTGAAGCCAAAGCAAGGCTCGCATTTCTACAACTGAAGAACATTAGACACTCAAAACAACTGTCAATCAACACAATATTCCAGATTTTCAGTACAGATGTGAAGACAGTTTTTCTGAATGTGGCGGAAACTTGGAGAACTACCAAAGCCACCATGCGGAAGATACAAGTGTTTATTAACAGTTGTTTACGCAAGATACTTCGGGTTTGTTGGCCAGACACTGTCAGCAACTTACTACCGTGATGAAGAACAAATTCGATTCCGGCTGAAGAGATTGGAAAGATTCGCTGAAATTTGGTAACAGGAACGTAGCGGAAAGCACTCATCTGCGTCACGATATAGGCCCTCACTTGGAATCCTGAAGGCCAAGGGTAAAGAGGAAGACCGAAAAGCAAACTACGCAGCGAAAGGGAGACAGACATGAGATGAATAATCAACATTTGGGTGGGAATAAAAATGAAGGCCCAGGACAGAGTATATTGTAGAATGCCGTTTCGCGGCCTACGCTCAATTTAGGACAACAGGCCTAAGTAGGTAAGTATTATCGCATATTGTTCCGCCTGCACGTGAACATGTCATTTTGATATGCTTGAACTATTATTGAAACTACTATTGAAACTTCATCAGTTGAGGTGGTTGGGACATGTGCTGCCTATGCCTAAACACCGACTGCCTCATCGAGCTTTATTTTCGAAGTAGGAATAGGTTGGACGAAAGCTAGGGGCAGCCATACCAAAACATGGCACAAATCCATGAAGTCATTGACAAATGGACTGAGTCATGTTAGTAGGTGTCGACTACCTGGTTGGGTTTCTCGAGATGATAGTAATCGATGGTTAGATACCCTGAATGACATGGCTCAAAACCGTTTGCAATGGCGCCGGTGTATTCATTCTTTGTGTTCTCTCAAATCCTAAACTTTTAATGCTTCATCACTTTATCCTTATCTTTTGTTACGCCTGCACGTGAACACATCAACTTGATATACTTGAACTATTACGAGTTTACTTAGTCGGAAAACGAGAGCGAGGATCGAGGATCTGGCGACACGATATGCTACTCAAATCCGATTATCCAAAACTCCATATTTAGTAAAATAAGAAGACTTGATATGAAGTAGAACCTGCATTCTACAAGCATACAGAAAGTACGAGGTCCGAGTCCAGAAGAGAATCAGGATCCCGGACTAGGGATCCGGGACCGAGCGCTGGTCCTGGTCATAAAACGTTACAGATAATGCGTATTCATACATTTTGGTCGAATGAGAGATAGCATCGAAGTCTGTGACATTGACAGTTAAGACGACCAATAGGAAGCAACATTTGAAGTGACATTGATAGTCAGGAAAACCAATAAGAAACAACATTGCTGCACGTGATATTGATATCTACGACGACTATGAAATTGACCAGTCGGAATTAACCAATTGGAATCGACCAATAATTCTCGTAGGATATTGGATGAATATCCCAACATATATAACTATTTATATTTATAACTTGTGAACATTCATCTCTAGATGCTTGAAAACATAAACAGATGAGTTTATCAACCCGAGATTCACTCAGAGCATGAATAGCATGGTAACTGTTGACTAAATTCTCCAGTATATCTTCACTATCCTTAGAACTTAACATCCCATCCACTGCTTGAAGAACCGAGTAAATTATATTCTTCCGTGTTCAGTGCGTGCTATGTGAAGACAAATCCATGACGGTCATAGTGTTTAGAAGCACAAACTTGCCTCCAAGAATTAGATCTTTGACGTTTTGCACGCAAATTATGATCACATCACAATATATAGTCCCTGAAACATGCACGAGCACATTTCGCATGTGAAGTATCAATCATACACGTTATGCCAACGTCGTAGCAGATAATGTATTCGCCTGCTATTACTTCGGTTGATCCTCCTAACTCCTTTATAATTGACAGCTTTAATCTTAGCCGCAAATTTGTGATGCACTTCAAAAGGTTGTAATGAACTAGGAACCTGAAATTTATGATAGATTTAACCGAACTTCTTACCTGAATCTTTGACTAATGCGGTAGATTCTTGATTGCGTCAAAAAGACGCAAACATAGGTCTATTTCTATTTACTCCAGGTTTTCTATAAAGTCAACCGAAGAGGATCACATGATCCGAGATATTCTTTAATGCATTTCTGAAAACTTTCCGCACAATATTTTTGTGGTTTCTCAGGGTAAGGCTATGTTGCTGAAAATAGCGCTGTGACCTTGTTCAAAATTATCTTTTACGAACATCTAATGGTGGAAAGCACCCAGACTAGCTTGCGATTATTCGACAATAACCAACCTTTGTTAGTACGATGTGTTTAGTCAATACATGTCAATTCCAGAAACTCGTGGTAGATGGTTATATGCTCACAACGAGTGAATTTGTCATGGATATATCCAAATTTTCTTGAAATGCGTTATGTGAATTGTTTAGACGAGGTAGATAGATAACAGATCAGACGGTGCCATATTAGGGTTTTCTTGATAGTGTTGGTTCTTCTGGATCGATATGGCTCTCTCTTCACACAAGAACCATCTTTATGACCGACGACCTTACACTTACTGCGTCTATAATCAATCAATTAGAATGAAGGTTTATCAACCTGGAAGCAAGTGAGAGCATATTTTTGTAACACTTTCATTAGTTAACTGCTTGCGGGACTTCTAAGAAGCAAGGTGTCGGATGCTACATGCCGGTGATTTACTCAACAAATTGGCACTAAGTGTCATCTTGAAGGATCGACTGAAATATACCCTATACTGCAGAAAAGGATTGTGAACGGTTTTAATGGAGCTAACCGTTAGCATGTAGTGTTGCTAGTCAGGGTTGACTACAGACACCACTACAGACCATTTACGTTCAGGTCAGTAGGTGTAATATCTCCGAGAATGAAGGACAGCGAATTACAGCTAGTCCAGAGAAAAAGGGCGAAGTTGCAGCTAACAGTTTCACCTGAATGGCAACAACACAAACGGATAGTTTTCGCGCAGGGGGTCCGAATAAACAAGTAGTACAGTATAACTCACAGATACAATTGGTTGTAATAATGAATGTTTCTAATAAATCAGCCAAGTTCTTGTCACTATAGGCTCGCTGTATTCTGCATGAACCCAGAATCCAGATTCCCAGTCGGAAAATTTAGACCTAAAGCATAGACTTATTTGAAATAAAACATCTGTTGATGACCGATGTCGTCTTCATTGCCAAGGTTTTTTGGTGAGTGAGACATATAGTCGTCAGATGAATGTAAATTACTGTTACTGTCTACTTCCTGAAGGCCAGCAACTGGATATTGAACTGTGTTTGTGTTCGTATGCTAAGACATATGTGAAAAAACAATATCTGTGGTTTGGGTAGAGTTCGTTCTTTTTGCTTGCGCAAATGACGTATTATGAGTAACTATATTGTACAAAGAATTATTCTCAGCTCTGACTTCTTGTTGTCATCTTACCTTACGTACTTCATTTGGCAGGTTTCAAAATTATCCGGACTGATAAATCACTGGGACAGCATCGACTTGAACATTTGTAATATCATTGAATATTTGTCTTACATCATGCATCGGCACTGTGGCATCGGTTTCACATAGCGTGGCAGAAATTAAACCAAAAATGCATGTAACTTCAGCATTTGGTAAGTTTGAGACTAGCTGAAGGTTCTTTGTACGTTGGACCAGTGTAAGGAGCAGATGTGAGGTTATCCCATAGAGGAAAAAATAAGAGAAAAATAAGCAGGTGATTTAGTAAGCGCATAAAATCCATATTTACTGGAGAAAGCAATCGACAGAATCGGGAATAAATGAAGCTTGAGATAAAGACTAACCCATTATCGGAACTAGGAGTTAGTTGCGTAAGATTTCAAATACCACACTACAAAACACCTGGAACCGTACTGAAATAACAAGAATCGACCGCAAAGTAATCAAAACTAGCTAGTGAAAAAGATATTGGACATTAGATAGCGCGTCATATGCACTTGCTTGACGGAACGGCTTCTCATATACTATGGATTTCCGGTGTGACGCACCAACCGTCTTATAGCGATTTGACCTTCTAGTGCTCAGCAACCCCGCCAATTATATCGTTTTTTCCCATGTCTTCGCCGTCGACGTAACGAGTTTAGATTCCCACTGTATTCGTAGTCTGGTTTATTGAAGATGTCTGAATTCACACTTTTCTATTGCTAATTGTTGCCACTTATTTTCTATAATAATTGTGAAAGTACAATACGTGCTTTCATGAACTCCACATCGTCTTTTTCCAGATTTTGGTACATACGCACCCCTCTATTCATGATACTATCCATAGATAATACTGAAACTTACTAATATTTAAGCACCTTATCATTTCTATTCACTTCAAACTAGTTGTGCTTATTTGATTTATAGGGCGCTCACATTTTACATGATGGTGAAGTTCGATATTGCTTATAGTTTCGGTGAGTGGATGCGTCTGGGGAGACTTTCAGATATCATAGACAATATCCAGATTAACTTACATACTCCTGGATGTCTGCTGTACACACGATATGGTTTGTGACAATCTTGAAACGTATTTTCAGGCAGTGTTCCTTTTCTTCCTCCGGATGTTTATGAAAAAATAGAACTGTTACCAGAGTTTTCTTTCGCTTCTATGAGCTACGTGTATGTATATAAGTGATATCTAGGTTTATTTTGTAGAATGGAACGCAGGTTTGCGCTTAAGAAATTCGGTGGTGGTCTTGCCAAATTTGCTGGTTTAGGTGTACGAGATTATATAGTTAACATATCTTTCTAGAAACGTGGCGTGATTCTATTTCAGTCAGATCCAACTCACTTGGCTACTGTAGCGGCTGTTGATAAATCATCGGTTCCAGTTTGGACAACTGGTGGACGATTGCAGTTATCAGTTGGTGAATATTGTACCTGTTGTAAGGTTGCATCAGCGGCAGCATATCAGGCACCAACCGACAACGAGACTTTCCTGCCAGATGTGAATCCAACATTAAAGCGGATTAAGAATTCTGTCATTCGAACTTCAGGGTACTTAAAGAAATTTGCTTCAGAATGTTCATCTCATGAGGTATGCTGTATTGATGTAAAATTATAATAACTTAACAGTTAAAACTTTGTCCACAGTTTCAAACAACTTGTTCTCACTCAAAATCTTTATTTAATAAGTTGGTTAGATCGCTAGAGTTAAGTCTGCTTCACATAAACAGGTCTAATTAGTAGCTCCCATTAAAATACGCTTAGATTTTCATGGAATTATAAAAAACGAGTTGGCATTTTTGTCATAACTGCCGTGAAATTTATTGCTTGCATTGCAGGATTATGAATGATAGCCATCTCTCTGTTTTTTACTATTATGTGTTCGAGGGTTGAATATGCTTTTTTCAATGAGGCTCCTGGTGTAAAATCAGTGCAAGTCGTAAGGTTACAGACTGTTCTTGGATCGTAGTATACTATTTCCTCCATTGAAGCACATCACCTACAGGTGAGGTTTTTTAAATATGTCCATAGAGTTGGCTCACCATCTCGCATCGTACTCTGGAGCGGTGTCTGGTACCAAACAGCGTGCTCTCGGAGAATTTGCATAGGCTTCTGAAGTTGCTGTAAAGGTAGTTGTTGAAAACTCTGAAAAAAAACTGAAATTATCCTCCATTTCTCCATAGAAACAGTTTGTATACACGATTAAATACTATCCTAATCAAAGCTTTTTGTAACTCTTCGAACCAAATGTCCTGGTACGAGTGAGGCTGTATCGAGTCCAATCTCCTTGAAATACCCACGTATGTCTACTCGTTTATTACCACTCTCAGGGATACCCCGCTAGCGGTAGTTTTGTTCACTGTGTATAGACGACAAACAAGCGTTTGAAACTTAGATTGAGCTGGCAGGCACCGAGGATCCACCCAGGGGGAATGGAAAAACATGATTCCGATCCAGTAGTGAACCTGGACTACGGGATAGAACGGATGGCGAATGAGGCTACTGCTGGTTACAGGCTACCACGGGACTGCGACTCCCGGCGTTACTCCACTGCCTTATGGACTGGGGTCTTGGTCGAAGGCTCGTGGGTAGCCCCCACCTACCTGGACAGAATCCCAGTCCTCACACACTCAATAATTTCTGTGACGCATAAATATTTAGGTGCCTTTTTTATCAATATTTATCTGTTTGAATAAGTGAAATAAGCCGATATCAAACAAAAGTCATTAGTGGCCTAATGCTGTCCCATTTGTGGTGGAGTTTCGTTCTCTGAGCTGGATGTTTCGATTGTGAAGCTCTCATTGTTCTTCTGAACAACGTCAGCACAAACTCTAGTTGGAAGTAAAGTATTCGAATTCAGGGAAATAAATCCTACCACAATCATCCACTTGAGCTACAAATTTTCTCCGCTATCCCATTTTTTAGTTGCTTTAGTTTTTCTCTATACACGTGGCTGACCAAGTCATCTTTTAAATTCATAGCTTAATTTTTCTCTAATTCACATCACATGTAGCATTACTGTGTTAATCTGTAATAAATGTTTGCCTTTTAAAACTACGTTGTCAAACCAAGTAGCGGTGAAGTCTCTAAAGATGAGCAAAACCACTTGTTAAAATCGTTCCCTTTGTATGACATCCACTAACTGTTGATGGTAAATAGCATAGTTTATTCATTCAGTGCTTACTCTAATGGTTGAGTAGTGTAACTAGTCTCGACAATGTTTTGTATATTTTATGAATGAAAGTGGGTCCAGTAACGATAGTTGATTTACGTAACTTATATTTCGCTAATAAATTAACGGTTGGACGTTTTTTCTTCTTTTTAAGGAGTTGGTGAAAAAACGAATGCTTGTTTCCATCGCGGGTGGTTATGATCTACAGCTCCGCCTTCAGTCAGTTGCTGAAACAGACTTCTCACTTTGCTCAGGTGTCTATCCATGATCTGACCTAGGTTTTCCCTGTTTTTTTTTTAACCTGATCATGCTCATAGTCCGACATACATCTAATAAACCGAAATGGAAATCGGTGCTTACAGAAATTTTAAAATTCGTATGACAGTTATATTTTGTAACCTAACAATATTATGAGGTTACAAATTATATGTATGCCAACTGTTTGTTAACAAATACTACTGAAATTCCAAACCCTTTATTTACTCAAGTTAAGTAATGAGGTCGTGTAATCTAGATTCATCACATTAATTTTGTCTACACTTTATTGTAAAAACTTGAACTTCCGGTTAGTTTTTCCAAATTAGCAACAAAGTTTACGATTCAGTGAATTGTGTCCGTGCAACATCCTATATATAAGATGGTGTGTAGAGAACCCGTCTACGAGGATTGGAAAACCTTGATTCCAAAAACAGTGTTACACATGGGCTACAGGATCGTGAAAAGTAAAATAGCTAATGGACCTACTGCTGGTCATCGGCCATCATGGGACAGACAGATACAACACAGAACTTCGTACGTAAGTACATCAGTTCAGGTTGCCATACCACATCAGCACAGAGACGCAACTGTCAGTTCGAACCTAATAGTGATAGCGATAGTAGGAGTATTAGCAGTAATGGAGAAGATTAGGGAGCGAAGATATGATTCGAGAAGTATAATTCAGTGAGATAAATTTAGAAGGAGAAAGATAGAGATTATGAGGAATTCAGAAGGTTAGAATTTGAGAGAACACAAAGAGTGGATGCACCTGCGCCATTGCAAACGATTTTGAGCCATGTCGTTCAAGGTCTCTAACCATCGGTGACTTTCGTCTCACGGACCCCAATCACGTAGCCTACATCTACCAACATGACTCAGTCCACTTGTCAGTGACTTCATGGATTTCTGCCATGTTTTGGTCTGGCCGCCCCTAACTTTCTTCCAACCTACTCCTACACCACAAAATAAAGCTCTTCGAGGCAGTCGGTGTTTAGGCATAGGCAGCACATGTCCAAACGACCTCAACTGATGAAGTTTCAGCACTTCATCTATTGATCTGCCATCCTTACCTAGAACTCGTTTCCTAACGATAGCATTGCTTACTCGGTCATCCCAGGATGCACGAGCAATGCTTCGGATACACCTATGATTGAAGACTATTAACCGACGAATATCTTCTACTCTCACTGGCCATGTTTCACAGCCATGAGGTAGGACGGAACGAACTACTGCACAGGACACTCGTCCTTTGGTCAGCGAACGGATATCTCGCCTACGCCATAAGTGACGCAAGTTGGCAAAAGCCAATCGTAGTTTCTGTATCCGTGCTGAGATTTCGTCAGTCACCAGGCCATCAGCATTGATGAGACTACCGAGATAAGTGAAGCGATCAACACGCTCGACTACTTCACTCCCTGTCACTAGTTCAGGTGCCGATGCAACCCAATCTTAAAGCAACATTTTGCATTTCGAGGGGGAGAACCGCATCCCGAACATGCTTGGATTGTTGCTTAGGGTGGTCAGAAGACTCTGCATTTTGTCAGCGTCTTCACCAAGTGTGACTATGTCTTCGGCATATCCTAGGTCAATAAGCGATTTTCTTGTTAGAAAGTCGGACGAAGATAATGTTATATCTAGAAGCATGTCTGTGACAGAATTAAACAAGAGTGGAGAAAGTGGACATCCTTGACGGATACCACATGAAGTAAAGAATTCCGACGACAGTTCGCCATATGCTCTTACCCGACCAGTAGTTTTAGAGTAGAGAGCTTGTATAAGGTTAATGTACTTCTTTGGTACACCTTTCAATGACAGACACTGCCACAGAACCTTACGATCGAGAGCCGAATGCCGCCTTTAAGTCCAGGAAGACAACTATTGTCGGACGCCTAGATGTGTGTCTGTGTTCCAGGACCTGTCGTAGTGTGAAAATGTGGTCTATACAACCACGTCCAGGTCGAAAACCAGACTGGTTTTCTCGAGTCTGCTCTTCACGAGCTCTAGTTAGACGTCTAAGTATAATCGAGGCTAACAATTTAGAAACTATATTAGTTAGACTTATTCCCCTGTGATTGTCACAAGAATACTTTTGTCCTTTCTTGTAGATTGGGACAGTCAGTGATTGAGACCAGTCGGATGGGATTGTGTCCAGTTCCCAGATTCTACCTAAGATTTCAGTCAACCTAGCTGCTAAAACTGGACCACCATCCCGCAATATCTCATGAGTTAGCTTATCAGGATCTGCTGCTCTACCTCGCTTTAGATGTACTATAGCTTTCAGTCGATTTGTCATTCAGGATGACTGGAGATCGTGGTTAACCGAAGTGTGGCTGGAGGCTAGTGAAATTGATTCCTGAAGTGTTCTGTCCATCGATCCAATTTCCTGGATTGAGAATAAGTAATAGTCCCATCCTTTTCCGCGATAGTCTCACTCACATTTGGGTTCCTAATACCAGTCTACTGTTGCCTATCGCCGCTGCCTTTTCCATCTCTCGCGCTTTCGTTACCCACCACTGTTCTCGATCATTGCGTAGGCTTTTTATCAGCATGCACGTAAGCTGGCTTCGTTCTTCATCATGTTCAGAGCCAGGTGGGATGAGTTTTCGAGCATCCGTCAGTTCAGTGGATGCTACTGAGATCCACGGCTTCATTCTAGCCTTATGGTTTACCTTACTAGCAGATGTCACTGCTTTTTCCACAGCCTTTCGGACATCATTCCAATCTGCTTCCGGACGGGAATCGCTTACATGGTTTCTTAACTTTCTCTCTAGTTGCTCATGAAATATATTCTTAGCTTTATTATCATTAAGTAGAACCTTAAGAGGCTTCCTTACGGTGACTTTCCTACATGCAGTAAGACGCAAACAAATATGTACTCGCACTAGAGCATGATCTGAATCTAGACATGTGTCCCAGAACGAGCGACAATCGTCTCTTGAAACCCTTCATCGGTGGCTGATGGCGATATGACCTAGTTGCGTCCAACGTTGAGACGACTTTGGGGGTCGCCAGGTCAACAGATGCTCTTCCTTATGCCTGAAGTTAGTGTTTACTAGAAATAGGCGGTTATCTGAGCACAGTTGCAACAGACGGTCGCCATTGTCTGTTCTCTGAGCCGCGACATCATAAGATCCACCTAGGTGTCTTTCCTACCTACTTGAGCATTGAAGTCACCAGCCATTATTACTATATCAGATCGCCTAGCTTTTTGGAGGAGATCCGAAAGCTTTCTGTAAAACTTATCTTTAACCTCGTCTGAACTGCAGTCAGTGAGGGCATAGGTAGATACGACGAAGAGGCAACGACGAGTGTCCCTATCCTTACGAGTCCTTACTGTTCTGTTTAGTCGGACAGCGCGCAAGCGACTATCTACTGGGGTCCAGTGTAGGAGAGCTAGTTCTGCCCTACGACTCAATGCTATACCTACACAAGCGAGACCCCGGGAAGCAGCATCAGAGCTACCGGCTACACGAAGAGTAAATCGGGCTGCTTCTTTATTTTGATAAGGTGAAATCAAACTAATGATTTTACTAGGATCCTGTATGCGCGTTTCCGAGATGCAGAATACATCGATGGCGCGAGATTCTAAACTCCTAGCTAAGGAAGCCTGTTGTCCTATTTGACATAAAGTGCGGACATTAAAAGCTCCAGCGTGTAGTTTAGAACGAGGTCTCAGGAGACCAGGAGTAACGTTTCGTGAACTCGATTGTTTGCATTAGCAGTGCAGGGTGTTAAAGGGGTGTGAGATGGGTGAGACGTGGATGTAAGACAGATGTTAGACGGTGTAGGGAGGATTTGACTGTGACCAATTTAGTCTCGCGTGCTGTTACGGGTATGAGGGCGGATATTACTTCCCGGCTGCCCACACCGCGGAAGGGTTTTTCTTGAGGGACCTGAAACTGAAGATAGATTGGTGTTGGTCTTAGAGACCTGTGAGTGTGACCGCAGAGTCCAAGGGCAACTTCTTGAGGCCGGTCACGCTTGGCCTTTGTGTGAAGGGTTTTTTTAGTGGGCACCCTTACCACCGGAAACAGAAATCCGTGTGGTAGGGTGAGGTGTTACATTTTTAGGGTCGACCTTTTCTAACCCTTCCTTCCTTGTCAGAAGGCAGCATCGCTGCAGATGCTGGTTTTCTAAGGGAAACACTTTAATGCTATCAGTCCCCTCTGCAGTCAGCAGTAGGACTTCGCCTTCAGACCTTGAGTAGCTGCTTTTAGTCTGATCGTCCTCCAATCGACCTGCCTGGTATGTTCCAGTCAATATAGCTTGGTTGGGTCATCACGATAGGCAAGTCCGACCACCACGTGAACGTAGCAGCTACGGTCGGGTTTTATTGACTTTATGAAGATAGAGTTATTATTTAACGAAACTTTTCGAATTAAACCATTCGAATAAAAGAGAAGATACTACAGGAACTGCTGATCTTTAAAAGAGATCTAATTTATCATTATAATTTAATTTATGCTTGTATGTGATTCCGATTTTAATTTCTGGATGATGAATAAGTCAAGAGAAAAGTTAAAATTTATTTGTCGGAATATTTTTTACCTTGTACCTAGGTGGCATGTTTATTTATATGTATGTGAATTTTGCTAATTTGCATCACATTTAGGTGTGGTAATTGATGGTGTACTCCGAGATTTGCCTGTATCTTCAGTCGAAACCAAGGTCTACATCGATGAAAACCAAGGCTTACAAGAATTCTTAACTGATACTTTACCCAAGATATTTGCTCATATTCCACCTCAAATTCCACGTTTTATTACTCAAATATGGCAACCATTTCATATTGCCCTCGCAGTTCGTTCTGGATGTGACATATTTGATGGTAGTTTGCCATATCGGCTCAGTCGCAGTGGGATTGGTTGGATTTACGAAGACTGGAGTGAAACTAACTTGCCAAGTGTGGTTTCAGACCTAAAGTTTCTAGAGTTTCCCTTCAAGGAGTCTTATAATTTGGATGCGAAGAAATGGTACTTACCAATCCAACCTGGATGTAGTTGTTTTACATGTTTACATCACTCACGAATGTATATATCTCATTTACATATTACTCAAGAAATGTTGGCTCCTATGTTACTGATGATGTGAGTTCTCTTTTTATCTGTTAAGTAATAAATGTTTATATCGATGATAATTCACACATTTCGTGAGTGTGAATTATCTGTTGTAGTAAAGTTTGAATGATCGTTTCTGTCAAATCTCTATCTTTCTACAACGTTGGAACTTACACATCACTTCAATCGAAACTAACGGTATGAAAACAGTGCAATAGGCAGTCGCGATATAAATCGCATAAGCACAACACTAGCTATAACTGTACAGGAATATGATACTAACCAGAAGCAGGTTGTGGTCTACACGTCTACATTAGACGGTCACCACTATCAGACCTGCATCTAACGAATGCCCAAAGACAGCTAAAACTATTTACTGTCCAGTTTGCATTTAAGTGCTAAAATTGAAAAAGGCCAATACAAATATCATACATGGCTTCAAAATAGCAGCATTAGGTATCGTATTAGTTGAGAGCATTCATGAAGTCATCCAAGATGTGATCTTTGTATTAGACGATTGATTGAATCAAACAGTAGAAGTGTAAACAAAATGATATGATAAATAATAGAAATTAAAGCAAAGGATATTAAATACATTTCTTAAAAGGCGGATGTCATAATCATTTGGCTGAGCTAATAGAAGCTTATTATTAACCGTATATTATCAGGATTTGTGTTTTGTTTAGGATACAGCTTGGAGGCCACTCCCTGAACCTTCAACTTAGCGATCTAATTCATAAGGCAATAGGATCAGCGTCAGAAAATTCCGTCACTTAGTAACCGGAGACCGAAACAGACTCTACCACTCGTTCCCATAGGGGCTTGGAGACGATGTACACAGTTAATTTTAGGTCAGGCTCTCAAATTCCGAGGATGAGTCATGCGTTTCTGTTCCCTCGCTTCCGTAAAACATCCACTGCTATAAGTCAGTAATTAGGACTTCCATACCAGTCATCTTCAACATAGAACTTTGAGCGTGTGTACATACCTTCAAGTCGCCAAACCACATGAGCACGGATAGATGGAGTTTTCAGTTCGAATCTCACAGGAGTAGAGTAGTATAAGTATTAGCGGTAATCAAAAAGAGTAAGGATCAAAGATATCATTCGAGAAGTATACTTGATTGAAATAAACTTAAAAAGAGAATAAAAGATCATGAGGAATTCGGAATATTAGAATTTGAAAGAGAGAAAAGAGTGGATGCATCTGCGCGATTGCAAACGACTTGGGCCATGTCATTCAGTCTCTAACCACTGGTTACGATTGTCACGAGGACCTCAAATTGGTAGTCTACACCTACCAATATGGCTCAGTCCAGCTGTCAGTGAATTGATGGATTTGTGCCATGTTTTAGTTTGACCGCCCCTACCTTTCTTCCAACCTATCCCTACACCAGACATTATCACTCTTCCAGGCAGTCGGTGGTTGGGCATTGGCATCACATTCCCCAACCACCTCTGATGAAGATTTACTACTTCATCAATTTATCTACCATCCTTGATAAATTGATGAAGTAGTAAATCTTCATCATTTTAGGTGGTTGGGGAATGTGATACCAATGCCCAACCACCGACTGCTTAGTTCATGTTTCGAAGACACCTGTGATGAAATACTAGCAACCTACGAATAATATCCTGTTCTCTCACTGGCCATGTTCCACAACCGTATAGTAGGACAAAGCGAACTGCTGCGCGATAAACTCGTCCTTTGTTTAGCAGATGGACATCTCGTCTACGCCATAAGTGACGCAAGTAGGGAAAACCCAGTCAAGCCTTCTGTATCCTTGCCGAGATTTCGTCAGACATTGGGCCATCAGCACTGGTTTGACTCTCAAGAAAAGTGAAGCGGTCAACACGTTCAATTAATCCACTCCCTATCACCAGTTCAGGTGCCGATGCAAGCCAATCCTGAAGCAACAATTTGCATTTTGTGGGGGAAAGTTGCATCGCGAACATACTTGAATTGTTGCTTAAGGTGGTCAGAAGATGGAATTTTTTCATTGTCTTCACCAAGTAGAACTATGTCATGGTCATATTCTAAGTCACCGGCGAGTCTCTTGGTAGAAGGTTAACTCCCAGAAAGTGAGACGATGAGTGTCATTTCTAAAAACGTAGGACTTCCTTGTAAACGTTATAAACGCCTGGCCAAATAAGGGCTTTTCAACAGGGAGCTTAGACTTTCCATATTTGATATTACCAGGACTTCTGGATGCGTTAAATCTCTAGTTTTCGACATGCATTTAACAAAAGTGCTACAAAACAAGATTCAGTCCTGATTTACTTTACAGATGATAGTTATAATTAACTTTGGAATAGCAAACGCTAATCGCATCGTCATTCCAACATTTCTGGTGCCTTTAATATTAAACAAGTGAAAATTAACTTCTACGTTAGTTTATTTTCATAAAAAGCAAAGTCTGCCTTATATTGTTATCAACAATATTAAAATCTTAAAGTAATCTGTGATGCTTTGTTCTCATTAAAAAAGTTCTCATATAACAAGGGTGATTGTGGATATTTTGATCATATTTCAACTTTAATATGTGAAATAGTTAATAATTTTGTGAAACGTAACGATCCTCTCACTATTTGATTCTAATACTATGACAGTTACACGTTTTAAACAATGTATTTTGCAGATTATTTTATTCACGAGCTTTACTTGTTTCTTTCATTACGATCTTAGTCACAACTCCCACCAGTACTATCGCTTTTTCTCTGATCTCCGTCGGTCTATAGCAGTGAACAAAGTAGACGCATTTATTAACCATGCCTCCAATTGGCATTTTCCCCTTAACCTCCTGATTATTGACAAAACAAATGAGTTTAAAAACCCGGCAAATACAGACGATGATAATGTGTAAAGGTACATTATTTTTACTATTACATATATTTCTTGTTTCACTGACATATCTTTGACTGTTGCTTTTAAAAAAATAAAGATACTGTATTGTTACACACTTTCTCACATCGAGACGTGTTTACGTAATAGATGAAGAATTCTGCATTTGTATAGTTCTTATTATTGTAAAGTGTTTATAATATTTATTTCTGGTTGCCCATAAAAAAACTGTGATGTAGTTGAATCGATTCCAGAGACTCTGTATTTACATTCATCTATCGGTTTAGATTGTTTATTCAGCCCTCACTGAGGTATAATTTGGAGTACACTGCGAAGTATACGCTAGTGTGCAGAAGTTTCAAGTATTTCTTAGCAAATTTAGTAACCGGTTATTGTATTGTCTCAACTTGTACAAAGCAGTATTACCTAGATTTTTTGAACTTCTTATTTAAGCTAACATTTAGGAATAAGGTGAAGTTTGTGGGTATTATGTTTTGTACTACATCTTGGTATTCTTGAACACTACCTCATTCGACTGGTCTCCAAATCCAGGCACGACTAGCAGATATATGTAAATATACTTTAAAGAAAAAAGCTAAGTTATGTATAGGATTAAAATGACTCCAATTTTTGGACTCATTAATTGTAAGCGAATACAAATCACTAGCATATTGGTTAATTCAGTAAAGGTATACTGAAAATAAAATAATAAATAAATAAAAATAATAATAATAAATCAATATACGTGAGAATACTTCAAAAACGGATGAATGAAGTTCATTTTAAACTCTAAGATTGACTTGTTCATAGATGCAGCTTATAAGAACTGCACATCTCTAATACCCATTTTATAATAACGTACCTTTGCGTTCACCAAAACTACTGGTTTTCTGTTCCAATCTGTCTAACTTGTCAATAGGAAAATAGTCTCTCTTGTCTCCTCAGAAACCAGCCTGACTGCCTCTAGAGTTTTAATATCGAAGTTGTCTGACGCAGTATCGAGGAGTATTCTTTGTTGGTTCTCACTGATAGGGTTCAAAGTCACTTTCAATTAATTGGCTTGATGCACTCAGATTTCCCAACAAAACAACACATCAAACATCATATTTACACGACCCAACCAGTCATTTATGCGGAGTATTTAACACGGTAGTCCATACCAATCACTTTTTGATCCAGCCGTCTTCGTACCTCATGGTGTTGATTGAATAGATTTCTGTCGATCTGTTTCATTAAAATTCAAGAGTTGGTACCGAGAAAATATCATCAAAGGATGTACCTGACTTTTCGCCTTGTACAGTTTTTGCCGTTGTTTTTTTGAGTATTTGGTTTTGAAATGCAAAACATTTCGCTTGGCTTTTGGATTGAAGATGGTGTGAAGCAGTTTGTACATGATTTATTTTATTGTGTCGACAAAGTTATACGAAGACCACATAAGTTAACTACGGTTGCTACTATGTTCAGAACCCCAAAAAGGCCGGATAGTTGATGTAGTTTCCTGATTATGGGACCTACTGTTGAGTGTTCCATGTAAAACATTTCTGACGACTTCTTCCGTACATCAACTACCAAAAGGTAAGGTATTCCATGAAATATAGGCTAGCAAACTCCAAATGTAAATGCTAACACAGTTACTGTGGTTTTAACGATTTTCGCTTGCTCTGTTGACGCTATTTTTGTTGCTAATGCACATTTAGTACACGAATAGGATAGCTGCTCAAGTTGGATGTAATCTGACAGAAGTTAGGCCTAGCTGGTTGAAATTCCAATTCCTACAGGACCTAAACCTTATTCCCTAAACTTGACTTTATAATAATCCGTAGAAAAATCTAACTTTTCAAACAACGAAGTTTAGTAGCCATCGGATTAAACACTTGATTGTTTCGCTTGTAGCTTACGTTATAGGGTAACACTGTGTTGTAGGATTCTTCAAACCTTAATGGTGTCCTCAACAGTTCCTACATAGAGTGGGCTCATATATTCACGGTTACATTTTGAATATTGATATTGTTTCGGTAGGAGGCTGCCTTTTATTTTGATGACACTGACATACAGGCGTCTAAGTAGTGGTTAGGTAGGCCTAACCATCAATAGGAGTAGTGTCTCAAAACACTAAGCCGAGTGATCAAAGTAATACTTCGTAAACATGACTTCATAGGTAGGATAAGTATCTTGAATTTCTGTCCCAAATTGTTTTTTTTTACTGATATCCTTCGTTTTTGTAAATAATATCTTCACTTCTATGCATTTTTATCAAATTAATTCATGCAAGCAAGATACTTATGACCAAACTTAAAGCATTATGTACGAGGGAACATTTGAGTAATAAAATATACGTGCATTAAATCATTTCGAGGTAAGAAAACACAAAATTATGGATGTTTTTCGATCTGTTAAACTATTACTTTGTCTCATGGTCGTTGCAAGGGTTAAATAATTTTTCTGGTCACCACTGACTGTCGGTACAGTCATCGCTAGTGCCGCCGACCAGTTTCCTCCAACCAAATATGTCCTCGGCCTCCCTTTCTAGTTCTTTCCAGTTTTTGTTCATTCTTCTCGTATCTTTCTCTATTTCTCGACGTAATGTGTTCCTTGGCCTTCCTCTTTTCCTTTGATCTTGAGGGTTCCATATGAGGGCTTGTCCTGTGACGCAATTTGGTGCTTTTCTCAGTGTGTGTCCTATCATCTTCCAACGCTTCTTCCTGATTTCCTCCTCCATTGGAGTCTGGTTTGTTCTCTTCCACAGTAGGTTGTTGCTGACAGTGTCTGGCCAACGAATCCGAATTATTTTGCGTAGACAACTGTTCATAAATACGTGTATCTTCTGGATGATGGCTTTGGTAGTTCTCCAAGTTTCCACTCCATACAGTAGAACTGTCTTGACATTTGTATTGAAAATCCTGATTTTGGTTTTGGTTGAAAGTTGTTTGGAGTTCCAGATATTTTTCAACTGTAGAAATGCAGTCCTTGCTTTGTCGATCCGCGCCCTTATATCTGCATCGGATCCACGTTGGTTGTCGATGATGCTGCCCAGATATGTAAAGATGTTAACGTCCTCCAAGGCATGTTCATCAAGAGTGATTTGGTTGGCGCATGATGTGTTGTATCGTAGAATCAAACTTTTCCGTCTATGTATGTTGAGATCTGCTGCTGCAGAGGCTTCTGCCACACCGGTCGTCTTTTCTTGCATTTGTTGTTGCGTGTGCGATAGAAGAGCAAGGTCATCTGCGAAATCCAGACCGTCTAGCTGTCCACTGAATACCGTGCTTCCCTCCAGATGCTGACGTCTTCATGATCCAGTCGATCACCGGGAGAAAGTGTGAAGGAAAGCAACCTTGCCTGACACCAGTCTTCACTTCAAACAAGTTTGTCAGCTGACCTCCGTGTACGATTTTGCAGTTGAATCCATCATAAGAATTCCGTATTATGTTAACTATTTTCTCAGGCACACCGTAGTGTCGAAGAAGCCTCCACAGTGTTTTCCTATCCACGCTATCGAATGCTTTCTCGTAGTCGATGAAGTTGATGTAGAGTGGTGAGTTCCATTCAATTGATTGTTCCACAATGATCCGTATTGTTGCAATTCGGTCAGTACACGATCGATCCTTACGAAATCCAACCTGTTGATCTCGAAGTTGGACGTCTACGAAGTCCTTCATTCTGTTTAACAATACCCTGTTGAAGACTTTGCCGTGTATTGCCTGGGGAATACTGTGCAGCCGATGACCAGTTTGTTGAAGGCACATAGGTTTGCAAATCTCTCACCGTTTTCGTTCCTTTTTCCTAGTCCATGTCGTTTTTTTTGGCAAGTTAGTTTTTTGGTGCGATGGGGTCGTGAACCCCATGCCCAACTCTCCTATTTTCTCCAAGCTTGGGACCGGCAGTAGCACTGAGGGTGCTACAGGCGGAGTTTAGTGGGTAGATGTATGATTGTATTTTTAAATTCTTGCTACTGCAAGGTTCCAATGAGCTTATGGACTATTATTATAGTGCATTTTACTAATATTTCTTAGTTATCACTGGTTAATTATGCACTGTATGCTTCCCTTTTTGCCACGTATGGGATGATTGTGTTTAAAACAGAACTTTTCATTTATTGTGATTGGAGATGATCGTTGAACTTAGTTATTCGAAATAATGTAAATATGCCTTTCCAGAAATACTGAAGATATTCATTCAGAGAGGGCTAATAGTTGGTTTTACTAAATAACTATGAATAACATCAGATGATCAGTCAATCAATCAATAGTGACGTAGAACTTCGTACGTATGTACGCACATCAGTTTATGTTGCCATACCACATTAGCACAGAGATATAATTGTCAATTCAAATCCAATAGTAGTAGAGGTGGTAAAGGTATTAGCAGTAGTCGGAGAGGTTAGGATTAGAAGATATTATTCAAGAAGTAGAATCTAGTGAAACAGACTTAAAAAGATGATAGCATATTCATCCACTATACTAAGAGAATAATTGGTCAATTCCTACTGGCTAATTCTTACTGGTCGATTTTATGGTCGTCCTAGATATCATTGTCACATAATCCAATGTTGCTTCCTATTGGTCGTCTTAACTGTCAATGTCACAGACTTCGATGCTATCTCTCATTCGACCAAAATGTATGAATACGCATTATCTGTAACGTTTTATGACCAGGACCAGCGCTCGGTCCCGGATCCCTAGTCCGGGATCCTGATTCTCTTCTGGACTCGGACCTCGTACTTTCTGTATGCTTGTAGAATGCAGGTTCTACTTCATATCAAGTCTTCTTATTTTACTAAATATGGAGTTTTGGATAATCGGATTTGAGTAGCATATCGTGTCGCCAGATCCTCGATCCTCGCTCTCGTTTTCCGACTAAGTAAACTCGTAATAGTTCAAGTATATCAAGTTGATGTGTTCACGTGCAGGCGTAACAAAAGATAAGGATAAAGTGATGAAGCATTAAAAGTTTAGGATTTGAGAGAACACAAAGAATGAATACACCGGCGCCATTGCAAACGGTTTTGAGCCATGTCATTCAGGGTATCTAACCATCGATTACTATCATCTCGAGAAACCCAACCAGGTAGTCGACACCTACTAACATGACTCAGTCCATTTGTCAATGACTTCATGGATTTGTGCCATGTTTTGGTATGGCTGCCCCTAGCTTTCGTCCAACCTATTCCTACTTCGAAAATAAAGCTCGATGAGGCAGTCGGTGTTTAGGCATAGGCAGCACATGTCCCAACCACCTCAACTGATGAAGTTTCAATATCTTATCCATTAAACTGCCATTCTTACCTAGCACCCGTTTCCTAATAACAGCATTGCTTACTCGGTTATCCCAGTATATACGACATATCTCACTGGATCATATTTCTTGAATAATATCTTCTACTCCTAACCTCTCCGATTACTTCTAATATCTTTACTGCCTCTACTACTATTGGATTCGAATTAACAATTACATCTCTGTGCTATTGTGGTGTGGCAACGTGAACTGATGTACTTACGTATGGAGTTCTACGTTGCATCTGAATGACTGACTATTCCAGTATAGGCGAGCAATGCTTCGGATACACCTATGATTGAAGACTATTAACCGACGAATATCTTCTACTCTCACTGGCCATGTTTCACAGCCATGAGGTAGGACGGAACGAACTACTGCACAGGACACTCGTCCTTTGGTCAGCGAACGGATATCTCGCCTACGCCATAAGTGACGCAAGTTGGCAAAAGCCAATCGTAGTTTCTGTATCCGTGCTGAGATTTCGTCAGTCACCAGGCCATCAGCATTGATGAGACTACCGAGATAAGTGAAGCGATCAACACGCTCGACTACTTCACTCCCTGTCACTAGTTCAGGTGCCGATGCAACCCAATCTTAAAGCAACATTTTGCATTTCGAGGGGGAGAACCGCATCCCGAACATGCTTGGATTGTTGCTTAGGGTGGTCAGAAGACTCTGCATTTTGTCAGCGTCTTCACCAAGTGTGACTATGTCTTCGGCATATCCTAGGTCAATAAGCGATTTTCTTGTTAGAAAGTCGGACGAAGATAATGTTATATCTAGAAGCATGTCTGTGACAGAATTAAACAAGAGTGGAGAAAGTGGACATCCTTGACGGATACCACATGAAGTAAAGAATTCCGACGACAGTTCGCCATATGCTCTTACCCGACCAGTAGTTTTAGAGTAGAGAGCTTGTATAAGGTTAATGTACTTCTTTGGTACACCTTTCAATGACAGACACTGCCACAGAACCTTACGATCGAGAGCCGAATGCCGCCTTTAAGTCCAGGAAGACAACTATTGTCGGACGCCTAGATGTGTGTCTGTGTTCCAGGACCTGTCGTAGTGTGAAAATGTGGTCTATACAACCACGTCCAGGTCGAAAACCAGACTGGTTTTCTCGAGTCTGCTCTTCACGAGCTCTAGTTAGACGTCTAAGTATAATCGAGGCTAACAATTTAGAAACTATATTAGTTAGACTTATTCCCCTGTGATTGTCACAAGAATACTTTTGTCCTTTCTTGTAGATTGGGACAGTCAGTGATTGAGACCAGTCGGATGGGATTGTGTCCAGTTCCCAGATTCTACCTAAGATTTCAGTCAACCTAGCTGCTAAAACTGGACCACCATCCCGCAATATCTCATGAGTTAGCTTATCAGGATCTGCTGCTCTACCTCGCTTTAGATGTACTATAGCTTTCAGTCGATTTGTCATTCAGGATGACTGGAGATCGTGGTTAACCGAAGTGTGGCTGGAGGCTAGTGAAATTGATTCCTGAAGTGTTCTGTCCATCGATCCAATTTCCTGGATTGAGAATAAGTAATAGTCCCATCCTTTTCCGCGATAGTCTCACTCACATTTGGGTTCCTAATACCAGTCTACTGTTGCCTATCGCCGCTGCCTTTTCCATCTCTCGCGCTTTCGTTACCCACCACTGTTCTCGATCATTGCGTAGGCTTTTTATCAGCATGCACGTAAGCTGGCTTCGTTCTTCATCATGTTCAGAGCCAGGTGGGATGAGTTTTCGAGCATCCGTCAGTTCAGTGGATGCTACTGAGATCCACGGCTTCATTCTAGCCTTATGGTTTACCTTACTAGCAGATGTCACTGCTTTTTCCACAGCCTTTCGGACATCATTCCAATCTGCTTCCGGACGGGAATCGCTTACATGGTTTCTTAACTTTCTCTCTAGTTGCTCATGAAATATATTCTTAGCTTTATTATCATTAAGTAGAACCTTAAGAGGCTTCCTTACGGTGACTTTCCTACATGCAGTAAGACGCAAACAAATATGTACTCGCACTAGAGCATGATCTGAATCTAGACATGTGTCCCAGAACGAGCGACAATCGTCTCTTGAAACCCTTCATCGGTGGCTGATGGCGATATGACCTAGTTGCGTCCAACGTTGAGACGACTTTGGGGGTCGCCAGGTCAACAGATGCTCTTCCTTATGCCTGAAGTTAGTGTTTACTAGAAATAGGCGGTTATCTGAGCACAGTTGCAACAGACGGTCGCCATTGTCTGTTCTCTGAGCCGCGACATCATAAGATCCACCTAGGTGTCTTTCCTACCTACTTGAGCATTGAAGTCACCAGCCATTATTACTATATCAGATCGCCTAGCTTTTTGGAGGAGATCCGAAAGCTTTCTGTAAAACTTATCTTTAACCTCGTCTGAACTGCAGTCAGTGAGGGCATAGGTAGATACGACGAAGAGGCAACGACGAGTGTCCCTATCCTTACGAGTCCTTACTGTTCTGTTTAGTCGGACAGCGCGCAAGCGACTATCTACTGGGGTCCAGTGTAGGAGAGCTAGTTCTGCCCTACGACTCAATGCTATACCTACACAAGCGAGACCCCGGGAAGCAGCATCAGAGCTACCGGCTACACGAAGAGTAAATCGGGCTGCTTCTTTATTTTGATAAGGTGAAATCAAACTAATGATTTTACTAGGATCCTGTATGCGCGTTTCCGAGATGCAGAATACATCGATGGCGCGAGATTCTAAACTCCTAGCTAAGGAAGCCTGTTGTCCTATTTGACATAAAGTGCGGACATTAAAAGCTCCAGCGTGTAGTTTAGAACGAGGTCTCAGGAGACCAGGAGTAACGTTTCGTGAACTCGATTGTTTGCATTAGCAGTGCAGGGTGTTAAAGGGGTGTGAGATGGGTGAGACGTGGATGTAAGACAGATGTTAGACGGTGTAGGGAGGATTTGACTGTGACCAATTTAGTCTCGCGTGCTGTTACGGGTATGAGGGCGGATATTACTTCCCGGCTGCCCACACCGCGGAAGGGTTTTTCTTGAGGGACCTGAAACTGAAGATAGATTGGTGTTGGTCTTAGAGACCTGTGAGTGTGACCGCAGAGTCCAAGGGCAACTTCTTGAGGCCGGTCACGCTTGGCCTTTGTGTGAAGGGTTTTTTTAGTGGGCACCCTTACCACCGGAAACAGAAATCCGTGTGGTAGGGTGAGGTGTTACATTTTTAGGGTCGACCTTTTCTAACCCTTCCTTCCTTGTCAGAAGGCAGCATCGCTGTAGATGTTGTTTGTCGGATGGAATAAGCCTTCTGCTATCACATCTCTCTACAGTAAGCTGTATAACGTCGCCTTTAGACCTTGAGTAGCCGCTTCTAGTCTGATTGTTCTTCAATCGACCTGCCTGGTATGGTCGAGCCCACAGGAACATATGTTCCAGCTAATATAACTTGGTTGTGTCATTAAGATAGACAAGGCCGACCACCACGTGAAGGTAGCAGCTCTCGTTAGGAATATCATATGGTATTAAAAAACATCTCTCCTATTATTAGAGTGTCAACTTGTTGCCCTATTCAACTGGTGATATGACTGCATGAACAAATTGTTTTATAATATTTTTATAGGAATTAATCATTATCATGAGAGCAAAATAGTGGTTTACATACGTGTGTTAACGACGATAATAATGGTTTATATCATGAAATTAAAGCAACGGAAAACGATAACCTTGGAAGTTAACAAAACGAAACACTAATGAAATCACGAATGAATTGTAGTCAAGTTTGCGTTTTGTTACTCAGTATTTCATGTAATACTTTATATATTTGGATAGTCAGTTACAAATACATCAAATTTCTTTGAACGTAATTGACGATGGGTTACCATGAAGTACAGAACGTAGAATCTTCTGAAATAAAAATTATCAATAAATACACGGTTAAAAACACAATATACAAATAGTTTAAAGTGTAATAAAACAGAATAGAATTTCTTACTTCACCATAAATCTTCATTCGAAGTCGATTGACGTGCAGTTTAGCCAATTTAGTTTTCTGTATATTAACTTGATTCTGTATATAATCGTGATATAATCTATATCGAATAGGAAGAAAAGAATAGTTTAATGTGGGGAATAATTCACATTCGAAGGAAATGACAACAACAATTTATCAATATAAGCTACTGACTGACAACCTTGAAATGATAATACAAAAACTTATAGATCCTAACAGTCTCACCTCATAGTAATGAATTTAAACTATGAAGTATGTGCTAACGAGATCATTTACTTAATATCAGCAGCGGCTAATGTATCATTATTTGATTATTATATTGTCATGAGATTTGATGGGCTTGATTGAGATCTGCCCTTTTTATATTTAGTGCTTCCATCGAAATCATAAATGGTACATCGATTTATAGATCGAGAAAGTGCCTTCAACGTCAGTTTGCTGACGATAATCATCTTTAAAGAATCATCATTGTATACGTTTTATTTAGGATAAAATGAATTCGTTATTTGTCTCTGTAAAGATCATTTATCAACTAAAATGCTTCATAGTTGATACAGCGATCTTGGATACAATAAGAATCAGTGAACAAATAAGCTGTTACATACAATGTAGAATATCGAATACAAGCTTCTATTGGTCGTAGCTGTTTTTTAGTGAGAGGGATTCAGCATAAAATTTATCAAGTTATTTTCAGCTTTTCAATCATACTTCACTGAAAAGTGAGGTAACACACTCTGTGTGCACTTTTTAAATGTATTACTGGACCTCAAACTATATGGTTTTCAAAAGGAGAATACAAAACAATCAGTAGTTCAACTCTGGTAATTTTATTTCACCAGAAATACTTTCAAACGAATTCGCAGTCTAACGATTAAACTCAAAAGGAGCAAACATTCAGAACCTGTACAGGGCAGAAAAGTTAACTATCCTTATTAAGGCATTACCTATAATCTCTCACTCCGTCATGACGCGAAGACTCTTAATTTTTTGTATTTACTAATAAGTCGTATTTATTGCCTTCACACTCTTCACTTCTTCATATCTGTCAAACAAACAGTTCTGTCTCATTCTTTGATTCGTAAGATACTTCCGTAGGTGTCATCGAAACATTGCCCGTATATCCTAGGAGGTGGTTGGGCATTGGCATCACATTCCCCAACCACCCCAACTGATGAGGATTTACTACTTCATCAATTGATAAAGGATGGTAGATAGATGATATCTTTGATCCTTACTATTTCTGATTACCGCTAATACTTATACTACTCTACTCCTGTGAGATTCGAACTGAAATTTTCATTTCATGTATTTGTTATTTTTGAGATATCATGTTTCTTAAAATGTATTACAACCATATTTACCGTAGAACATTCATTTTTCACAGAACTGCAGACTTAGCCAGACAACAGCTATAAAATAATTTATGAAAGTGCAAACGTCAATAACTACGTTTCAATAATCATTACTAAAACTTCAATTTTTACGAACATAATCGAATCGAATACTGACCTGGGTCGATTTTTTTCTTGTTTCAACTGTTTTCTATTACATCCAAAATTAACTTGTGATGTTTGCCTACAGTCTGAAATGATTATTTTAAAAGTTATCAATAAAATGCAATTAAAATCTGTAACGACGAACAAGGTAACTAGGTTAACTCAAATGCAACTATACGGTAACATTTAAAGTAAGCTACCATAAAACAACGGTGATCATGTGAGAATAAGGGATACATCACCCGACAACAGCGTAATTGTTCATGTCATAAGATTGATGAACAGTCTCAAAGTTACTGACAGTTTATTGTGATTTAAACACATAAATATCGGTTACGCAACAGCGACAGTGTTTGTGATTGTGTTGTCGATTGTAATGAATTCTTTTTAAAACTCAGTTAGTGATACTAATCTACAAATGACTTTGTGTATGCAGAATAGCACCTTCGGACAGGTTATTGTAACGCAAAATATGATACAAAATAACCGAGATTAAAGTGTACAAGCAGTATGACTGATTGATAACTAATAATATCTGTAGGTTATTGGACGCTAGATGTTTTTCACATTTCTGTAACATTCGGTATGATTCATCTACGTAGTTTAATGGATGAAATTATCCAAAATCTGTCCATCGCCTTAACTAACCTCCATATGAATTTTATAAGATATTTTTCGAGGTAAACATGTCACAAATGGATTACCGTCTGTTATAAATTGGGAGAATCACACGTGTTATGTTGTGATTACCCGTCTAACGTGTTCGTATTCAATTTTAGATGCACTCAAAAAATTCGTAAGCATAAGGAATGAAAGTTAGTAGTTATCTCAACTCTACAACTTTTTATTCGACTCTCTAATAATAACATTTGTATTTTATTCATGCACTTAGTTATGCTAATTGGGATCACGTAATCTATATCAATACTATGCTTCTTATTTAAAAAAAATCTAATCTCAGTACAAATTAATTTTAGAAGATACGACTTTGAATGATAGATGTGAAATTTATGTGGGATATTGTCATACTATAAATGAATATAATAAAATGAGTATTAGAAGCCTCTAAAATCATAACTTGGGAATTTCATAATATTCATTCTATAACACTTGAAAAGGCAAATTAAGGAAACGTGATTTTCGAGAACGATTATTCGAGCCATGTAAATATTTGAGAAATAATGAATTCTCCCATAAAAAAACATTTCGATTACTGTATATATTTTCTATCTGATGAAAAGTTTATTTTACACAACAGCCTTACTTTTTGTGAAGCTTTGTTTAAGAACTTTTTCCGAATAAGTTTCATTTAAAGGTTGAAACCAAGAAATACCTCCTAAAAATGTTTCAAGAAATACAGGAAAACTTGAATTAGTAAAGCATTTATTGGCAGCATGGAAACAGATACGGAGAACTGGAAGAGGCTATATTTCAAATTTATTAATATGCCGAGCAGATTCTGATACGTCAAACAGTTTTTTGAGGATGCTCAATGATAAAAATGTAATTAAGAATGAGCTATTATGACTACCGATATATCACTCTAGTCATTTATCAACAACTATTCATGACTTATATACTTTAAACAGCTTTTAGTGATACGGCTTTTATGCTGATTGTATTTCGGTTGTATAGATGGGGTAGTCAAACATCGGAAAATTGCTTAATGTGTTTATTGCTTTATTATAATCCATTTCTTTTTAATTTAGTAATTAATGCTTGTTTACTTGCTTCTAAGAAGCTCTTTAAAATATTTGTATAAGAGTGCACCAAAAAAAAATAATTCTACTTAACCGATAAAAAGAGTGTTTAAGTCAATCATATGATCTATTGCTTATTATCTTGTGAATTCACGGCATTTGAACTCTGTAGATGAATTCTTCGAAATACTATTTAAAATTTAACTCGACTATTTAATACTCTTATTGAGTGTTATTGTCTGCTAACATCCTCATTCCCAGTGTCATTGAATTCTCTCAACATTTTTAAATTTGAACTGGGAAAACGTTCAGTACTCTATGATTTTTACTGATTCTTCAACTGATGTCAGTTCGTGATGGAAAGTGATTTCAAAGTCCGTGATGTGATATGTCTAAAAAGATGTAATTTCGTTGTATGTATATGAATCGTTACAACCTATTGAAAAACTATGACTTTCACAAGAACAAGCTGATTACATTAAAACATACAATACAGCCAAACTTGTTGACTTAGAGTAAAATTTTCCCAACCACTGTTGTGAGGAATGATCTAAATGGAAGGTAACAAACTTTAGAAGCTATTTTTGAAAGTCCTTATTTGCATATAGTGATCGTATACTTATTAAGCAACTAGACCATAAGATATATATTTCCTTGATCATAAAGTTTCTTTTAACTCATTAATGATTATCTTAAAATTTATTGTTCATATTTCACTGCTTTATAGTCTCCCTTCGACTCACATCTACTTTAGACTCACTCATGTATAGTTGTTGATTTCAAATTAATTGGTGCAATGCGGTCTGGTTTTGTGTATAAATAAAAGAATATCTGAAATATAATAACGAATCTTGAACTGATGGTCTTTGTTCTTACTCTTCGATAATATGACAGATTATTTAAATATATTATTTTTGTAAAACAGCTTACCCGACGACCTGCATAACCCGCCCACTAAGTTTTTTGGTGACGAATGTAAATGGAAGTTAGTTTTCGATGCGTAGTGATCTTTGGAGGACTTTTCATGCTTAATATGACTACCTATTCCAAAGAAAACAACCGTCTAGTAGATACCATTAGAATTACAGACAAATTCTTTTTCCATATTATAACAACTACTCATTGAAAAATGATTACTGAGACATTTCACAACTCTGAATAGAAGATTGAATTATTCTTAAAATGGATTAAATTTCAATTTACAACAATTTTTCCGAGAATCAACTTCTAATGATCGTTTTAGAACCTAGAACGCAACTCAGGAAATCAATACTAGGTTGTGTTCATCCAATTTATGCTATAGGTCAAATTAAAGACACGATGAATTCGAGTGGTAACGCACACGCAGTATAGTATGGATTTTATGCGTTTACTAACACGTAGTAAGGAAGTGAGCATTCTAATTTTATAAGATATATATATATATATATATTTAATTAACAAAAGTATATATTAACTAATATAAATAAATGTGATTGATATGGTCATTACATCGCATATTTTTAAATGTGATCATAATAGTGAGGTACGAAAACAATTTCAAAATTAACTTGTTTCGACAATATCAACAGGACACAATAATACAGATCTGAATTAGCTTTAACACAATTAACTGATTCCTACTTGTCAATTCATAAAAAGATCAAATAACATTTAATGAATTGGAAGGAAGCTGACAATAAAGACTATGTGAAATGTTTGGTAGAATACTTGTTTTGGTGAATATCTGTTGAAAAAAATCCTAATTAATTTAACAGTAAGTAACTATTACCACTTCATATATTTCAATCGTCATCCTTATCTATCAATGAACATTTTACAGTATATAAATATTAATTCAGATTTTGGAAAGAATTAGACATCTACACTGTTGTTAATACATAATTTTGATGAACAATAGAATAAAATTTAGCGACTTCTATCTTAAACAGGATAAAGTTTCTCAGTTTCATTAACAGTATATCATTGTCTAATAAAAATTCAAATCAGATTGTACAGTATTCAGATTTTTCTAATTTCTTGCGACAAAATATCTGCAACAATGGACAGATATTAAACAAATGATCAAATTCATAATGGGTACTATACGTTTAAAAATGTATTATTTACTTGTGTTAGCAGACTTTTGAATGTCTTTTTGTGATACCTCACAATGAGTAGTTTTGGTCGAAATTTTCTCGTGAATTTGTGCACTTTCTTCATGTCCATTAGTTGATAACTTACATTTTTGTGTGATCAGTTTAGTGTTTTTATTAATTCCAGACTTTGAGTTATTCGATACAGGAATACATTTTTCCATATGACTATTGTCTAGATCAACATCTTTTTCAGATAAATCCGACAATAAAGACACTGTATCTGTGTCCCAATCGTCCGGTATCGAATTCGACAGAGGCTACAACAATAAATATCATGTGAATATATGTTTTTATAAATTATTGCAAGTTTTACTATTGCGTTTTACTCAAATATTAATACGATGAAAAACTGTATTAGGAAACTTGTTTTCCAAGATGTTTTAAACAGTCTAGCAAGTTTCAGTGAGAATCATGTTGATTCATTTCTGGAAATCAAGTAGGCTTACTTATCCGAGTTGAGTTTCATGGAGAACAATTCTGAACAAAAAAACTGATTATTAACATATGAAGCATGTTTTCAACAGTGGTAAAATAAAGTTAGAAATTAGCAACGAAGTAATATCTATATATCACTTAAAAACTACAAAATATTCATTCGTCATTTTTTATGCTACAGTCACTGTGAGAAGATATGATAGTGCTGGCCTTGCAGAGTTTCTTGCGTAAAGCCTGAGATTTAAAACCAATAGACAAATGGAACTTTCATCCTGTCGATCTCTTAGTGACATATTTCCATCATTGTTTACGCATATTTTATTGTACAAATAACTAAAAATCTGTGATTTAATGTCGAAATCTCCCTGCGAACTTCGGAAACTGCTGAACGAAGACGAAAAGTAGCTTAACTTTTCAATGCTTTGTTGACAGTGTTCGTGGTATGGATAGCAGTAAATTATTTTGAGTGGCGTTTCTGAATATGGTTTGATCTCGTCTCCCACATAGCAGAAGCTATACGGATTCAAACCTACAATCCTAATCTATTTAAGCCACTCCTTGAATAGATAAGTCTAACCAAACAACTTTATTGATAATTATGACTACTACTCTTCAAACTCTTTGTTTATTCTTCATTTCTTTTTCATATTTATTCTTTGCTACCCGATTATTTGAACATTTCTTATTGCCTCCTTTTAATAATTTATAACGATGAATATCCTATTGACCACTTTTTTCCATATTTCCACTTATTTCTTAAAGGTTGTTTATAATTAATCAAGAGTTAAATACACGTACGTAAAATTGAGGTTATGAATTGTGTAGGAGCAGTAATCTTAAGTCGGATATTGCTACATTTCTTAGTCTTCAAAGTTAGAAGTAGTTGTCACAAGAATGACGCCTAATATAAAACGGAACAAAAGCAGTCATTTTATGGAACTTGTGACAGTCATTCATTGTACTGGAGTAACAGCTTTTAAGTGCTAAACTAAATGGTGAATTTCCAATATTCAGTTGATGATAATATGATAAGCTTGCCTCGGGCATGATTTACGAATAGGTTTCTTACTTAAAAGAGTTAAAGTATAGGTATATTTTGTAATCTTGTGGAAAGTGAAATTCACCTGGTTCACTTTTTATGTTACGTGTTACATAGACCCGTTTTTAGTATACAAGTTTTAAGATAATGATATAAACTTTGTAGTCCCTGTAAACAGTTTTGGAAATTGAAAAGAATCGACTGAAAATCCACTGAAAAAGCCACATCAACTTGGTAGATGCAAACTACTTAGTTGGAGTCTGTGCAATCATCATGACTAGGAGTTGGAGACGTTGGATTAAATGTTTTAGCATCAGCCACAATGAAACAAATGGATCCACTATATTTTCTTATAGACATTGAGTTCCGATATCTCATTTTACATGCCTTCTCATTCAATCATTTTGAACCATGTTTTCTCAGTGTTTAGTCTTTCTCATTACCTTTAGTATTACATTATTTTGACTACTGTGCATTCTTCAAAAGTTTATCACAAATTTTATAATCTAGGCATGATTAATTCAGACAAAAAATCATAGAATACATTGTATTCAAAGGTAAATGACTTGAAACTCAGCATTTAATCATCTGAAACTAGGAAAAATTTAGAGAAATGCACTCTATGTGCATACGGTCAAATATCATACCCTGCCTGAGTCATACAACGTTATATGCATAACTTATTTTAAGTTTGAATCGGCTAAACCTAATAATCAATCGATACTTGTAAATGTCATTCTGATTAATCTTTCTGACAAAACAACCAATGAATTAATCCCTTTACTTGCAAGAACTCACAGTCACTTTCAAATATATAAAATGACAAACTGTGACATTTACACACTGAGATTAATGGTCACATATTCAATTCATTATTTCAAATTTGTCTAAAACTGATGATCATATAAACATTGGGTTATGTGTGGTTCATTGAATTATACATTCATATCCAACTAATAGGCATTCTTTAATGACAAGAAATCACTTTTTATTGAATATGTATTTCATTACGATTGCTTTTAACGTTAGATATAATCAGATGAGGTCTTATGAAAGTAGGTAAACTGCATTAAAATGAACAATTGTTAATATATTAGATAAATTCAAATAATATAATTCATACATTTCACTTCATACTTACTGTTGCATCTGTTGAAACTATTTGTTCTAAAAACTTTTCAAGATGATTCACTATACGTTTTCTTAAATTATAGACAAATCGGGTACGCAATAACTTTAGTTTTTGTTTTAAAAGTATGTATTTCAACTGAGCTACAAGAGTTGATCTTGGCACAGGGCAAACAGATTGTAAAACTTCAAGATGCCTACTTTTCGGCGAGCATTTCGTATTGCTAACAGGCTCTGTACTACATACTGACAGTTTGTCAACCAATTGAAAAGGTAATGATGATGTTTTTGTTCCTGAATATTTAGTCTTATCAGGTGTGATTCTGTAGGTGTGAAAACATGTGCACGAGCTTTCATTGCATAAATCTGTAGTCTGAACTATAAATGGACGAATTGAAAAAACAATCGATATTTACGTAACAGCGTTTAGTAAAAATGTATGATAAATGAACAATTGAAAGTACTTGACTAGCTTTTCAATCAATAATTTATTCCACTCATTACACAGTTGAAATGTTTCCTAATATAGTGTCCACTGTGTTAAACGTTTTGTGTTTTATTTTTCTATCTAGTCATGTTTGTTTCTTTAAATTTAAAAATCCTATCGTCATTTTCACTCCCTCTAAATATAATGCACTGATCGACCTTTTTCTCTTGATCTCGTGTTTTTCTTATTTGTCAGGTTGATCTTTGTTGTTTTAGTACAGATTGCTAGGATCAGAGTAAAACGTTCTATAGAACTAATAAAAAATTCAGACTCGTAAAAATTATTTAAATGATAGCCCTACTTCTTAAAAATAATGTTTATCTGACAACAAACGACTGATATTGAAGTAATTTATCACATGAAGGCTTTTGAAATCGATTACTTTTAAAACATATCCTAAACGCTTTTTTATCATTAATCTGTGACTTTAGAAGATAACAGTTAAGATAAAATCTGTCAAGATACGAATAAATCATGTGCATAGATATTGACGTACACCAAAAACTAAATGACCAAATTGACTTGTCTGAAAAAAACTTCAAGCTTGGTAAACACACACACACACACACTTCAGATGATATAAATCGAATATATTATTATTGTGTTCGATTGCTCTCGAATGCATCAAAAAACTGTTAACAAATATACACACATATATATCATCACGAAAAATACAACGCAAACGAATAAGTAGTGGCAATAAATCAACCATATTTCATGATTTGATCAAACTGTACATCTTACCCAACTTAGTGTTGGACTTTTTCACATTGTTTTCATTATGATTACATGAATATGTATGAAGATATTCCAGTGTACAAACTTGTACTCCTTTGTCAACCTTTTCTTGATTATAATCTGATGTAGGTTGTTTAGTACAGATGGGACTTATCATCAGTGAATTTAATTCAAAATCATTTTCAGATAAATAATCTCCACACCAAGTCAAACGTTCGCTAGTTTTGATTTTCTCACAGTCTTGATTTTTTATATTTTGAGTTAATAATGGACAAGAAGAAATTCCTATGTTACACGGTGATGTAACATTTGATCTGATATGATGATGATGATGTACCGTAGGTGATTGTTTGCTTTTTGCATTCAGAAAAACAGAAGACAAATCGACAGTTTGTCCCTAAAACACAAGTATTATAAGCTGGGATGAAATTAGTTACATTATTAAAAAGGATATTAAGATATGTAACTATAAATTTTGTCTGCTTAACAATATCTACATGTAAAAATCCACCTGAAGCTCTACTAAAGTTACTGCTGCTCTTAATGCAGGGTGTAGAAGGGTTGGACATTAATCTAACAGTCCTATCCGTAAAAACCAGCCTTGCTAAAAAACACTGAAGAAAAATTATTGAAACCATTTAAACCCTGTCCTAGGTTTTAAAATATCTTATTATGGAAGAGTTGTGATTTTCCATGGTGAAAGCTGAGTTTCGTCACAATTCATGAGACCGTTCTGACAATCAGAGCAATAACTAATGTAGGTTAATGTGGTGTCCACGTAATATGAAAGACCGAAGGATCAGTCAGTCAGATGCAACGTAGAACTTCTTACGTAAGTACATCAGTTCATGTTGCCATACCACATCAGCACAGAGACGTAATTGTCAATTCAAATCCAATAGTAGAACAGGTAGTAAAATTATTAGAAGTAATCGGAGAGGTTAGGATTAGAATATATTATTCAAGAAGTATGATTCAGTGAGATAAGTTTAGAAAGTCAAAACTAGAGGGGTTGAAGAATCCAGAAGATTAGGATTTGAGAGAACACAAAGAATAAATGCACCGGCGCCATTGCAAACGATTTTGAGCCATGTCATTCAGGGTCTCTAACCATCGATTATTATCATCTCGCGGACCACAACCAGGTAGTCGACAATTACCGACATGGCTAAGTTCACTCGTCAATGACTTCATGGATTTCTGCGATGTTTTGGTTTGGCCGCCCCTAGCTTTCTTCCAACCTACTACAAAAACAGAGCTCGTCGAGGCAATCGTTGGTTAGGCATAGGCAGCACATGTCCCAACCACCTCAACTGATGAAGTTTCAGCACTTCATCTATTGATCTGCCATTCTGACCTAGCACCCGTTTCCTAATAACAGCGTTGCTCACTCGGGTGTCCCACGATATACGAGCAATGCTTCGAAGACACCTATGATCGAAAACCAGTAACCCACGAATATCTTCTACTTTCACTAGCCATGTTTCACAGCCATAAAGTAAGACGGAGCGAACTACTGCACAGGACACTCGTCCTTTGGTCAGCGAACGGATATCTCGCCTACGCCATAAGTGACGCAAGTTGGCAAAAGCCAATCGTAGTTTCTGTATCCGTGCTGAGATTTCGTCAGTCACCAGGCCATCAGCATTGATGAGACTACCGAGATAAGTGAAGCGATCAACACGCTCGACTACTTCACTCCCTGTCACTAGTTCAGGTGCCGATGCAACCCAATCTTGAAACAACATTTTGCATTTCGAGGGGGAGAACCGCATCCCGAACATGCTTGGATTGTTGCTTAGGGTGGTCAGAAGACTCTGCATTTTGTCAGCGTCTTCACCAAGTGTGACTATGTCTTCGGCATATCCTAGGTCAATAAGCGATTTTCTTGTTAGAAAGTCGGACGAAGATAATGTTATATCTAGAAGCATGTCTGTGACAGAATTAAACAAGAGTGGAGAAAGTGGACATCCTTGACGGATACCACATGAAGTAAAGAATTCCGACGACAGTTCGCCATATGCTCTTACCCGACCAGTAGTTTTAGAGTAGAGAGCTTGTATAAGGTTAATGTACTTCTTTGGTACACCTTTCAATGACAGACACTGCCACAGAACCTTACGATCGAGAGCCGAATGCCGCCTTTAAGTCCAGGAAGACAACTATTGTCGGACGCCTAGATGTGTGTCTGTGTTCCAGGACCTGTCGTAGTGTGAAAATGTGGTCTATACAACCACGTCCAGGTCGAAAACCAGACTGGTTTTCTCGAGTCTGCTCTTCACGAGCTCTAGTTAGACGTCTAAGTATAATCGAGGCTAACAATTTAGAAACTATATTAGTTAGACTTATTCCCCTGTGATTGTCACAAGAATACTTTTGTCCTTTCTTGTAGATTGGGACAATCAGTGATTGAGACCAGTCGGATGGGATTGTGTCCAGTTCCCAGATTCTACCTAAGATTTCAGTCAACCTAGCTGCTAAAACTGGACCACCATCCCGCAATATCTCATGAGTTAGCTTATCAGGATCTGCTGCTCTACCTCGCTTTAGATTTACTATAGCTTACTCAACTTCATTAAGACTAGGGGGACTTACATCGATTTGCCATTCAGGATGACTGGAGATCGTGGGTAAACGAAGTGTGGCTGAAGGCCATTCGGACTGATCGCTTAAGTTTTCTGCTCATCGATCCAGTCTCCACGATTGAGAATAAGTAATAGTCCCATTATTTTCTGAGATAGTCTCACTTACACTAGGATTCCTAATACCAGTTTCCTTGATAAGTCGGAAAAGATGTGTTCTGTTGCCTATCGCTGCTTCCTTTTCCATCGCTTTTGCTTTCGCCGCCCACCATTGTTTACGGTCGTTGCGCAGGCTGATATCACTGCTGTTTCCAGAGCATTCTTGATATCATTCCAATCTGCCTCCGGATGGGAGTCACTTGCATGGTCGCCTAACTGTTTTTCCAGTTCCTCCTGAAATATTTTCTGAAGCCCTCAGAGGCTTCCTTACGGTGTCTTTCCTACGTCCAGTAAGCCTCAGACAGATACGATATGATCTGAATCCAAACATGTGCCCAGGAACAAGCGACAGTCCTCCATCGAACACCTCAATCGGTGGCCGATGGCAATGTGATCAAGTTGGGTCCAACGTTGAGACGACTTTGGAGGTCGCCAGGTCAAAAGATGCTTTTCCTTATGCCTAAAGTTAGTGTTTGCTAAGAATAGGCGGTTGTCTGAGCATAGTTGCAACAGACGATCACCATTGTCTGTTCTCTGAGCCGCGACATCATAACATCCACCTAGGTGTCTTTCATTTTCACTCAGTCTACCTACTTGGGCATTAAAGTCACCACCCATTATTACTACATCAGAGCGCCTAGCTTTTCGAAGGAGGTCCGAGAGCTTTCTGTAAAACTCATCTTTAACCTCGTCTGAACTGCAGTCAGTGAGGGCATAGGCAGATACGATGAAGAGGCAACGGCGAGTGTACCTATCTTTCCGAGTCCTTACTGTCCCGTTTAGTCGGACAGCGCACAAGCGACTATCTACAGGGATCCAGTCAAGGAGAGATTGTTCAGCTCTACGACTCAATGCTATGCCTACGCCAGCAAGACCCCTGGAAGCAGTATCAGGGCTACCGGATAAAGAATAGTAAATCAAGCTGCTTCTTTATTTTGACAAGGTGAAATCAGATTATTAATTTTACTAGGATCCTGTGTGCGCGTTTCCGAGACGCAGCATACATCGATGGCGCGAGATTCTAAAGTCCTAGCTAATGATGCCTGTTTCGCTATTTGATACAATGTCCGTACATTAAATGCTCCAACATGTAGTCTAGTACGAGGTTTCAAGAGATCGGGAATGACGTTTCGTGAACTCGCATCGTTTGCATTAGCGGTGAAGTGAGATAAGGGACTGTGAGTAGAGTTATTCGTAGAGATAAGAGAGATATTAGGGGGTGTAGGAAGGATTTGATTTTGACCAATCTTGTCTCTCGTGCTGTTACGGGTACGAGGGCGGTTGTCATTTCCCGGCTGCCCAAACCGTGGAGGGTTGTTTCTTGAGGGAGCCTAAAAGGAAGATGGATTAATGTTGGTCTTGAAGACCTGGGTGCGTGACCGCAGAGCCCAAGGGACAACTGCTGTAGGCCGGTCGCGCACGGTCTTTTTATTAAAGGTTTTTTGAAGATTAGCTCTGCTCTTAAAAGCCTTTAGTGGGAGCCATTACTGCTGGAGACGGAAATTTGTGAGATAGGGTAAGGTGTGACATTTTAGGGTCGACGTTTTCTAACCCTTCCTTCCTTGTCAGAAGGCAGCATCGCTGCAGATGCTGGTTATCTGAGGGAAACACCTTACTGCTGTCACACCCCTTCAGTCAGCAGTACGACTTCGCCCTCAGACCTTGGGTAGCTGCTTTTAGTCTGATCGCTCTCCAATTGATTTGCCTGGCATAGTAGGACCTGCAGGAACATATGTTCTAGCCAGTATAGCTCGGTTGGGTCATCACGATAGGCAAGCCCGACCACCACGACAAGGTAACAGCTACGGTCGGGGACCGAAGGATCAAGCAAATATCAATCGAAACGAGAAGATGAAACCTTTCTCTGCTTAGAATAACTGAAAACCACTGGACAATATAGACAAGACTGGATTCTGGAGACATTCCGCTGTACATTGGTCATGAAGAAGGAAATATTTCGCGTTCCTGAGGAATTGCACTGGTGTTGACCAAAGAAGTTTTTAAAGCATTTATAGGAAGGGGATATCGTGACTCCATGATTATTAAAGCATTCTTTGGAATAAAGATGGGATGAAAATGAATGTCATTTGTTGCTAGGCTGCCACCTATCATAGCAGCGAAGATGATAACCAGTTTTATGGGAGGCTGCAGCTTAAGGTAGAAAAATGACCAACCATCCTGATGGAGGATCTAATGTCAAGGAACTGGTTTCAGGTGAGGCTGTCTACTCTCTTCCTTTATCCTTCCTATGATTGTTGACAAGATAATGAAGACTTCCATGGAACACAGCAGACACTTTGAAGGGAAATGGACGATTCGGATTTCGCAGAAGATTTAACCATTTTATTGTATGCACGGCAACAAATGCAGATGAAGGCAGCCAGTAAGTATAGCAGCAGATTTTATAGCAGTAGGCCTCAACATACATGAAGGAGAAAGTAAGATTTTGAGATACAGCACACTGAGTATCAATCGAATCAAACTTTATGAGAAAACTCTGAAAGAGGTGGAACCCTTTACACACCCAAGCAGTATCACTGATAAACAAGTAGGATCTGATGCAGACGTAAAGGCATGAATTTTAAAGCAAGAGCAGCAAACTTACAGTCATGAAAAATGTACACAAACAAGTCTGTATGAGATAAAACCTTAGACATTTACTGGTTAATACTGGTAACGCTATGCAAGAAGATTGTTCAGTTTTACTTAAAACTCTAGTTCTGCTGTAAACATCTTTAGGATTGGAGGCAGAACACTAAGAAATAACACGTGAACTGGTCTGTCATTGCCCACAATTTAGAAAGCTTATATTTACGATTTATCAAACATGCATGATAAATCAGTCATTATCAACGGCTTTTGTTGCTTTTGTTATCTTCATGCATTGATAGTGAATAGTGAATAAAAGTAACCGTTCCCAAACACTTTGAGAGAAGATATCATCTGTTGCATCAAAAGAAAAGTTTCTCGAGTCCTCCGGATGCATAAAAACATAGTAGCGTTCGTGTTCACCTGTACCATGTTTTCTTAGAAGTATTCTGACCTTTGCGGCGTCAGCAAAATTGTCTAGGTAGATTTCAACTTTCTTGAATCACAATTTAAACCTAATACCTAATACCATCGAAATGAAATCCATAAGTGGAAATCTTGATTGAATTCATATGTGATATAAATGATTCAACAGTAAGTCAACCGAATAAAGTTCATCTTCTGCATTGGAGCTTTTAATATGGGCATTCGAAACTGTTCAAATCGTTTTCCCTGATGCTTGAGCAAACCTTCTACATGCTCAGAAGAAAATGATTTTGTTGGTTATAGACCCCATCGTCAGTGTTAAGTCTTATAATGAATATGACTAATACGGAACACCACCTTTTGGACTAGAAAGGATAGAATCACCCCTAGGCCAGAAATCAAAATGTGGAAGCAAACAAAACTGTTTATCACAGTAAGTGTTAAAATGAACAGGAAACTCATGTACATCCATAGTTTTTAGTATAGACTGAAGTCATCAGTATAATCGTCCAATCCGAAAACAGAGATGCTACTCAATGGTACAATCACGACAAGTCAAGTTGAGTTTTTGGAAATGATAACTGACTGTGATTAAATAAAATCTCTTTGGCTTCTTGGGAGCCTTCGCAGGCTTCAACATACTTTATGGGAGCCGTCTTCACACCTCCGCTTGTTGAAATCTTTACGACATGATTTACTCCAGGGGTTCAGTTGTAATCTTGGCACCATGTTACGTTTGCGACACATTTCCAGTGGTGGTTGGGTGATTCCAAGTCGCTCTCTATCAAATATTCTATTTTCGTACCCATTATCGCTCTTATGACAATTATGTACCAACTTCAGTCAACTGAGGAATTCACATGTTCATCTCCCGTGCAATCGAGTATAAAGAAACTTTCACGAATATATCAGACAGAATGATGAAACTGATAGTAATTATTGAGATAAAAACAATAATGAACTAACTATAAAAGGTGGTAATAACAAAATTTGAAGGTGTCATGAGGAAACGAAGATGTCCTTTAATTTTGCAAATCAGAGTACATGGACAACACAGTGTGGAACACATGAAATAAAACGAGTTCACTTACATTCGGTAATATTTATTATTCTTACTTTATAAAAGTTTGTTCAAAGCAACTAATTTAATGAAATTCTGTATAACATGTATGCTATTGTCTGGAATTTGTCGTACAGTTTATAGGTCATAACGTGGATATAACAATAGCGCTTACATTTAACCGATGATCAATATTCATCACATCTTTGGTTAAAATTTTAGCTATAATTAAAAAGGTTTTTAGAGTTTTAATAATTCCTGTTAATATAGATAAAATTTTATGTTCTATAGGCTGAAAAAGTAAACTAAGGTTAGTTATTTGTGTGATTTGTAACTTCATTTCAAATCTAGTATGAATATTCTCAGGAGTTTTGTCTGTAAATAGTTGCAATTGTTTTATAGGAATATGTAAAGATTAAGTGTTAGTTTTTCTCACCTTAACTAAGCACTATATGCAGTCTGGCAGCAATCTTGCTTAAATAGACATTGTAAGCATTAAAACATTTTTTATTGATAATGTTTGAGAGGCATATTCTCATGACCCGTCACAGAATTGAACTTAAACTTTTTTTGGGTCTTACTGTGAATGCTTAACCTGTAATCGAGCCGCGATGCTGTTTAACTAATCAGCCCTTCTAAATGGTGATATTTGTCTGAAGTACGACATGGTTGAGTTCCAGTGGTTAGGGATTTCGCACTAGAATTATGGGAAATTGTAGAGAAAAAAACAGCTGTCCAGTGTTTTCTAGTTTTCAAAGATTATTTAAGTTTTAATTTAATGGAACTTATTTATCAACTACAAATATTTATGTACTGGGAAGTGCATTTGCATAAAATGAACACAGAGTATTAGGATAATGTAATCAACTTCATTTTTTAAAAACAGCAATCATCAACCAACGAATACACCATAAAACACTAATAATAACATAAGATCATTGATTTATACTTGTAACTTACTGTTGAAGTTTTGGTTATGTGAAATGTTTTATGCATTTCATTATTATCTCTACTGTTCATTTCAACTTCATTGAGTATATCTTGAGGAATCTTATTTTCAATAGAATCGAATGAAAAACAGTGTTCTCGTTTCTTTGATGATGTGTCAGTATGATTGAGTAAAGTGAAACATGTTGACATGTTTTCTAAAAAAAAAAAATAATATATTTTTGATAATTATCATTAAAAAAGCTTTCATTTTTTTTATCATAAAAATTAGACATTTGAATAAATATATATATATATATAATGATATAATAAAGAGATACTAACAAATTCAAAACTGAAGATAAACATTTAAAATCAAATAAAAACAAACAAACAGTAATAGTTGAGAAACTGAAATTGGAAAAAAAGGAATTGAAATTGGAATCATGAAAATAAAAAAAAGTGGAAAATTCACTAGAGTAAAACTTAGTGAAACAATAAATCAGTAAAAATATTACCGAAAACATTTGAAGTTTTTCAACGAAAAAATGTTGCCAAACTGGAAAAATTAAACCTTACTAATTGTCTTATTAACAACTACAATGTAAGAGATAATCTAAACCTAACAAACATTTAAGTTATATCAATATATACAGGACAGTGATAAATTTGTGTTTTATACTCATTATTCATGATATAAATTGTCTTCTTTCATATCTTCTTGAGATGTTAACTACGTAAAATTTTGTGCTGATACTTTCTTCTTTCCATGTTCGAATCACAGCAGAGTTAGGGTACTAGTGATTTATTTAGAAACTATGTAGTCAAATAGAAATAATATTTTTAAAACCTCTTCATTGCATATAATGCATATAAATAATAAAAAGAACATAAATAGTTCGGTATAGGTAAGCCTACTTTTCATAAACAAAACATTCATAAGGATAAAATTAAAAGAGCTAAAAAAAAAAAGACAAGAAGTGAAGTGCAGAATAATAATAATAAAAAAAAATAATAATAAGAAATGAGAAAAGAGAAAATGAAAAGGGATAGTGATTTGTTTATCAAAATACAAAATGAATTAAATAGCTGGATAATTAAAAAGAAAATTAAGCAAAAGTATAACAGATGAACAAATTTGTATCACTGAAATCCATGTGTACATGCAAAGAATTATCAACTTAATCATTCAATTCGACTTACTTTTTAAATGATTCGAATGAAATGATTGATGCTTAGCCATGGATAAATTGTTATATAGCGAAGGTGAATATTCAGGTAGATTGTTTGATTCAATTTTGGAAGTAACATAGTTTATATATGGCGAATTATACGCAGTAATCTCCGTAACCAATTGCATTAAAGAAGATGGTAAGATTGAAGTGTAAACGTTAGATAGTTTTACATCCAAACCATTATACAACAACTTACATTCAGCAGTGAGCGGATCATTCTAAGTTGTTTGTTTTAAATGAGATAAAAATTGACATAACTATACTGTAACAACATTAGAAACACTGTATCATTGATCTGAATCAAAATGAGTGTCAGACTAACCTAATAATATGATAATAATAGTAATTATTATTCCATAACATTTAGGATGGGATATAATAAAATTCCTCTTGGTATATAAAAATACATTACCATTAAATTTCAATAATTATGAAAGATTGTTAAAACAAACTGCTCTAACAGTGTTAGTGAATCGAATCTGTAAATATTGAAGGTAAGTTTAAACCTATTTTATATAAAACAATGAAAGAATTTTTTTGTTGAAGTGATCCGTTTGAGAAGCATTCTTTGTAATCCTAGTCATCAAATACAATCAAACGTCAAAAAAATCCTTACTCATATCAAGTATTATGGTAAATGTGAACAAAAATTATACAGGGAAAATGTATCAAATATTGGATAAGCGACAAAAGAAAAGATGAAAAAAGTTCGGAGGCTTTGCACTCAAATTACTCACTAATCAATGCAGACATTGAGATTGAGCCAACATACTAACCAATAACTAACTCGATAAACAACTGCATAGTTAACAATCACATCGTGAAATATGTCAATTAAAACAAATTTAAGATGATTGTAACATAACTACTGTTAAAAACTGATGAAATGCTATATCGAAAGAAAAATTAGCTAACGAACAGTTGACTTTATTCTGAAGTAAACGAAAATCGATGTCAGTACAACCTGTATAATTCAAATAGGTAGTAAATAGAATAACTGTATTCAATGAATTAACTAGCTATTGCCAAAAATCCTTTCGAATGTATGTTATCGATGATGAAATAGTTCTCTTTTTTTTAAAAAAAAATCATAGAAATGTATGAATGGATTATAGTTTTACACTAAATTGGAATCTCGGTATGTAGAAAGTGAAGAGTTAAAAGCCTATATAAAGAACAAGAAGAAACGTTTATTCTGAGGATTGATTTTCGCACTATTGACTAAGATTAGTTTGCCTGATTACACTTAATAGTAATAAGGTTGAAGCGACAGTTTTACAAGCTTTAAATTTTTCCCTTATAGTATATCATCTATGTTCAACGTTATTTTCAAAGTGGATTATATCAATTTAATTTTTAGTGTTTTGTAATATTCCATTAGAAAAAACTTACTTAAACTGTGGATAGATGAAAATTAACTATTTCGTTACCTAGGTTAATTATTCGAACTACATTACTGAATATATATCTTTTTTAGTTTTTTTTTTCAAAAAAAAACAACAATTTGTTCATTTTGATAGAACACTGAGAAGACATAATTGATCTGTTCTATCAAAATTTATAAAAGGGGCTAATTGTTTTAAATTTATTCATTCTGTTGACACTTTACCCCCTAGGTCAAAGCTGTTTTCTAAAAAAAAACGATAACATAATTACATACAATAATGATATTAGTTAAAAACATATTCACGAAACCAAGTGAGTGAATATTTTTCATCGAAAATTTCAACCCATAACTTCATACACACTAATCTTATATCGATCAACTTTAATTATTCTTAATGAACAAAGAATGTGAAAAATTTTCCATTGAAACTCAATCATAACTAACTGAACAATAATATAAAATGAAGACAAAAATTGTGTTGAAAATTTGCTGTTAACTACTACTTGAAAGTAAAAACCAATAAGTTGATAACTTACAGTTTTAAAAATACTGCTCTCATTTGTTATAACTGACACTTTATCATTTTGAACTGATTGTGAAAATGATGTGGAAACTTCACTGTTTTTCATTTTCATATCAAAATCATTAAGAATATTACAATTGTAAGGTGAAATTTCTTTCTCTGAAATAATTAATATATTAAGAATAACATAAAAGTCAGATGTGAAACCACATGATTAGATATTAAAGGAAAACAATCATGCTATTGATCACAAACAACTAATGAGCTGATGAAATATATATGCAAGTGAAGTACAACATTAGTATTTGTTATGTAATACAACAAAAGTTCAGATATTATTACTTACTCAGTCTTAATGGGCTATATCTTATTGAGTAAATTATTGTGTTGGTTTGATATCGCAAACTAATAAATATATTAGGGGTCATGATGTTCACATGTTTCAACAAATTCAAATTCAGTTCTTATTGTACGAAGAACACAGTCATCTACTGTATAACGCGTATTGTTCAAAGGAATAACTTGATTGGCTCTGCTCTTCCTCTTATCTTTTTGTCACTATCGTGTTGAATGTTGATCTTGACAGAATTAAAATGACACTTCACTTTTATCCTTACACTAACTTTTGTTGACTACAATACACTACTTAATAATACTTAGTATCTTATGTTTTTAGAGCTAATTTTTGAACTTGTGACGTATGGTATTTTTGTATAAAAATGACCCACTAATCTCAAACAGTTCTATTTTTATACGAAGTTTTATTCTTGTTTAATTACTTGTTACACCATTGTTTATCCTCTGTTATGGGTGTTAGTTATTGAAAGTTTTTTAAGTTTTACCAGCTTACGTCTTTGAATGTATAATGCTTTATTCTTTTCGTCAACTGCTATTGGAAACTTTCTGTTGAACTCTCACATATCACTCAAACTTTAGGTTAAAGCTCTTGAAAGTTTCCTAAAGAGAGACTAAGGTATAATGAGATCATCATTTCTTTGCTGAAATTCAACTTGATTGTATATTAATCCGAGATCGATTTTGGATCTTTGAAAGATGGTGAATTTAACATTAAACAATGCACATAAATGTACAGTTTTAGAAGGAAAAATTTTAAAAAAAAATCACCGTAATTTTCATCCTCAATAAGGCTACTTCTACAACCTTCGGATTCTGCATCAAAATTGCTTTGACAATTTATATTTTCATTTATTGGCGTTACCGTTGTAATAGCTGAAAAATTATTTGTGTCTGTAATCAAAAACAAACCAAAAATAAGGCTTAACATGTATAAAAATATATTCAAAAAAATTGACTAGTAATAGAGTATATGGTTACCAGTTATCTAGTGAATATATGGTGAACATGAAATCTGAATAGATCACAAGGAAATAACTGTTAAAACCATAATATGTCAAACTAATGGCCATTGGATTTGAACGATGAGGGCAGTTGAGTCTACTTGCTCGAAGTCTGTGTGATGATCCTAATCAATGGTTGGATATATTCAATAACATGATTCATAATTGGTCACAACAGTGTAGATGAATTCATTATTTATTTTCTTGTATAACAGTATACTTTCAAATATACTTTTTGGGACCTTGTTCCTGAAGTTTAATCTTCGTCATTATTATATCAACTACTTGCATTCCAACTTATTTTCTATTCATTGTGTTAATTTTGTATGGTAACTTAAGTCAAGCTACATTTTAGCCAGGATCTACTTTGACTTTTACTGACCGATCACATCTGAGCTAATAGTTTTTAATTATAGTTAAAATTAAGCTAACATAGTAATGGACACTAACTGTGTGAAATTGTTCACAAGTATTATTTCGTTTACCAGTGGTCTACAGAACATATCTACAGATTTTAAGGTAGTATAACAACTCTACCTAAATGATATTCTAACAAGTAATTTTTGCCTATACAAATGCACTTCAGTTTTAAGCAAAAAAATTAAATAGACAATATCACGATAAATCATTTCAAGTAAGTATGCAGTTTCTGTTAGTAAATTCCTTCTAAATTAGACATTAGGATTTAAAACGTGAATATTTCAAAGCCATTATTACAGTTTGTATTCCACGGAATTCAAGTTAACCAATAGAACAATGCATAACTATCATCAATGTTTATTCTATGTATCTAAAACATAATAATAACAATAGTTAAGTAGAGTTATTGTGTTCTTATCCTTTACAATGAAACTCAAGATTTGCAATATATTGTAGTGAAACTGAAAGACACACATCATAAATAATATAAATAACCTTGTATTGATGATAGCACACCATCTATAATGTAGCACATTTCTTCTGGTTCACTAAAATCAATCGATGATGACTGGAAAGAATCCTTCGGGCATGTTGACGATTGAATTGCTGAAGTTCTTTGTTTTGCTGTATTATCATTTATGTGTAAAAAATTTTCCTTTCCTGCAGCATTTAATACAAACGTAGTCTGAAATGAAGATAAATCATGCTGCATCTGCTCTAAAGGTATATGTGATCCATGGTTATTATTATTACTATTATTATTATTATTATTATTATTATTATTATTATTATTACTATCTTCATTTAACTGCTTCACAGGTCTACAGTTACTTTGCACCGAAAGATTTGTTAAGTTTTCCTTGGATTCAAATTATAAAAAAGTTCATATTAAAAAAATTATTTATTCTAAAGAACTATACAAATACACATTAAAATAGCTAAGTTAACGAATAAAAAACTGTCCAAAGTCAACAAGCACTAGCACATAATGAAAGATAATTCCAAATCAGTAAGATCTCCGTCAGTCAGTCAATTTAACAGTACGCCAAGGTAGGCTAACAACATACATTTAAATTATCATACTATATTTTTTAAATTGAAATTCGTAGCCCATGGAGCAAAGTCAAAAATCACATGGATCCACATATTTTTTGACTGTGCTACATTGTAGTTTAATTAGGGTTAGAAAATCTGATAGGATGAAATAGTACAATCTGAACATCATGAAGGTGTAGGGTAGAAGCACTTGTGAAGTCATGAAGGTTCGTTAATCAGAAATAAAGTAAAGAATACTGAAGTGAGCGTCATGCGTTTTGTAAAATTAAGTGAATCAATAGCAAATCTTTTGAACCTATGACAGGAGAAATCGGTCCGTCAACAGACAGACAGATAGATACAACGTAGAACTTCGTACATAAGTTCAGGTTGCCATACCACGTCAGCACAGAGAGGTAACTGTCAGTTGAAACCCAAGAGTGATAGCGATAGTAGAATTAATAGCAGTAATGGAGAAGATTAGGGAGCGACCGCCCTCATACTCGTAACAGCACGGTCTGTCAACTATATTTGTGGTTAATTATTCAAGTGCACCTAAAAACGGAAAAGCTGAATCCATTATAGTTCTCTGGCATGAAGTGTCTAGATATAAATGATAAAGCTTTTTTGTCTGATTGTATTCATCGATAGATAAAGTGTATTTTAAAAGCCAAGTGAATCGATTCCCGATCACAGAATTGAAATTATATTACTCTAGTATATTTAGTTAAATAAGACCGGCGAATGATAATATTAAAAACATACGCAATCATCTTTTTTTCGTACAGCAGACTTCTAACCACTTGAACTTTTTGTTACAACACAACCATATTGTTATCGATTGCTAGTTGTAAATCAAAGAAACAGGTTTGTGTAATTATATAACATACAGTGGCATAGAACCCATTCCATAACACAATTAGAACTGAATCCAGAGACACTACCTATTAAAATTGTTTCACTTGTCCAGTGAGACATTCTTTAAGCCAATAGACTAGTTTTGATAAATAGAGAAAAAAAACTTATTACGGTGATTATTGGTGTGAGCATCGTTCTGCTGAAAATAATTACAAGTACTTCTACTTCAGTAGTAGTCGCTCAAGTATTACATAACAAGTACAACAGCAATAGTAAATGGAAAATGAATTCATGCAATCAATAAGTCACCCGACCATAGCTGCCACTTTCTCGTTGTGGTCGTGCATGCCTATCGTGATTACCAAACCGACATATTTTGGCTAGAACATGTGTTCTTGTAGGTCCGACAATACCAGGCAGATCGATTGGAGAACAATGGGACTAAAAGCATCTGATCAAGGTCTGATGGCGAAGTCGTACTCCTGAGAGTACAGAAGTGTGATAACAGTAAGGTGTTTCCGTCGGACAACCAGCATTTGCAGCGATACTGCCTTCTCACACGAAAGGGAGTGTTTAGAAAAGGTTGACCCAGAAAATGTTACAGATCACCTAACCTAACGGATTTCCGTTTCCAGGGGTAAAGGCTATCAAACGCTGATACACTAAAAGCCCCTCATAAAAACGCTGTGTTAGATCGGTCAGTCAGTCAGTAAGATAAAAAGCGGAACTTCGTACGCAGGTACATCAGTTCAAGTTGCCATACATCATGACCACAGAGATATAATGGTCATTTCTAAAAAAATAGTAGTAGAGGTAGTAAAAGCAAAAGACAGTGATATCTGCCAGTAAGGTAAACCATAAGGTTAGGGAAAAGCCGTGGATCTCAGTAGCATCCACCGAACTGATGGATGCTCGAAAACTCAGCCCTCCTGGCTCTCAGTACGATGAGGAGAGGAGTCAGCTTAGGCGCAGGCTGATAAAAAGCCTACGCAGTGATCGCGAACAGTGGTGGGCAGCGAAAAAAAGGAAGATGGAAAAAATAACGGCGATGGGCAACAGTAGACAACTGTTCAGACTTATCAAGGAAACCGGTATTAGGAAGTTGACTGTAAGTGAGACTATCTCAGAAAAGGATGGCTGTATCATTCATTCTCAACCCAGGAGATTGGATAGATGAGCAGGACAATTCAGGAATCAATTCAACTAGCCTTCAGCAACACTTCGGTTGCCCGCAGTCTCCAGTCAGCCTGAATGGCAAATCGGCATAAGTCTCCCGACCCTTTGTGAAGTTGAGAAAGGTATAGGAAATCTGAACTAAGGGAGAGCAGCAAGACCTGAAAGCCTTACCCCTGAGATTTTTAAGGATGATGGTCCATTTTCAGCAATTCTGCTGACTGAAATCCTAAGTAGAATTCGGGAACAGGACGTTTTCCGATCTGTCTGGTCTCAATCCCTGATTATCCCAATTTATAAGAAATGACAAAAGTCCTCTTGTGACAATCACAGGGTAATCAATCTAACTAATATAGTTTCTAAATTGTTAGCCTCGATTATACTTAGACGCCTAACTAGAGCTCATTAAGAGCAGACTAGAAAAAACCAGGCTTGTTTCAGACCTGGACATGGCTGTAAAGACCACATATTCACACTTCGACAGGTCCTAGAACTGAGACACACATTTAGGCGTCCGACAATATCTGTCTTCCTGGACCTTAAGGCCGCATTTGACTCTGTCGATTGTGAGGTTCTGCGGCAGTGTCTGTCATTGAAAAGAGTATCAAGGAAATACATTAACCTTATACAAGCTATCTACTAGAACACTACACGTCGAGTTAGAGCTTATGGCGAACGGTCCTAGGTTATATTTCCTGAATAATATCTTCGTAATCTCATCTCTTTGATTACCGCCAATACTGGTACTACCTCTACAACTATGGGATTTGAATCGACAATTGATTTTCTGTGGAAACGTGGTATGGCAGCTTGAACTGATGTACGTAGGCCTACGTTGTAACAGACTGACTGACTGTTTTAATTTGAAAAACTAACCATCTTTTTATTAATCCAGTTTCTAAAACTTCATATTCTTCTGACTGAATGTGTAATTATGAAATTAGTTGCGATAGAAAGCATATAATAAGGTATTGCTACCAAGTATCTTCTAATTTTATGAAAGATAAATAATAATGTATTTTAAATCAAGACAAATATAGGTTATAGTTTTAAAGGATCTCATCTTACCTGTTCAGTTCTGTTAGATATATCATTTGTAGCAGTTTGATTATTTAAATCAACTGATTTAAATGTTCTTATTGCTCGAGCATGGGGTTCAGGTGTTCTCTTTTTTAACCAATCACTATCAGTGGATTTAACGGTTTGAGACTTGTGTTCATCTTTATCTACAGAAACAAGTAAACTGTCTAAATGTTGTCGTAGACGATTTTCAGAAGCTTTCCTAGCTTTCAAATTACTATTAGCATGATTTTGCAATTCCGTCACAGATTGGTTTGTTTTCATACTGATGTTATTCAAATCAAACCTTTCTCTATGGTCATAAAAATTTTCATCATTTAAACTAATTTCACTATTATTTATGTTCACATTATACTTTACAAAATATTCACTACTTTCCAAGTTATCAAACTCATTAACATTTAACGGTGATCGACAGTGATTAAATTGATTCAGTTGATTAATAGAATTATTCAATTGATTGAAAGTTGATAAAGTGTTTACTTCATCTTCAGGATCTGGACTAGATATAAACGACCCATGATTAACTACAGTTGAAGGAAATTCTACTGAAATGAAATAGACAATTACAAACAGACAATTTAGTTGTCGCAAAATCTACAGGTCGAATATTGACAAAAAATAATATATTAATATTAACAGAAATGATTTCATTTGATAATTTGAGTGTAAGTGATAAAATTAAAGGATCATCTACCAGTGAACGATTAGACAAAACAGCCATAAAGTAGGAAAAGCGAACTGCCACGCAGTACACTTGTCCTTTAATCAGAAAACGGATATCTCGTCTATGCCATATGTGACGCAAGTTGGCGAAAGTCAACTGAAACCTCTGTGTCCGTGATGAGATTTGGTCAGTCACTAGGTCGTCAGCGCTGATGAGATTCCCGAGATAAGTGAAGCGGTCTACACGTTCGACTACGTCACTCCCTATCACTAGTTCAGGTGACGATGCAACTCAATCCTAGATCAAACGTTTGCATTTCGACCAGGAGAATCGCATCCTTAGCATGCTTGCATTGTTGCTTAAGGTGGTCAGAAGACTCAGCATTTTGTCAGCGTCTTCATCAAGTGGGACTATGTCATCGGCGTATTCATAGTCAACAAATGAAACTCCTGGTAAAAGTTCAACTACTGATAAGTCGGCGATGAAATTTTCATATCTAAAAGCGCATGATGAAGTTGAACAAGAATGAAGAAAGTGAAAAACTCTGACGAATACTTTACTTAATGTACTTCGAAAAGCATGGCCTAACCTCTGAGACATGAATATAACGAGTCATATTGTGGTGCGCGCTACTTATAACTAGTGTATGACGCAAGTAAAAACGTAATGTCTGGCAGCAGAAGATGGGGGAAGATCAAGAAAGGAAGAATGGGAACACAATGGAATTTGTATGAAACGCATGAACAGTGAAATGTCAGACAATGGACTGATGATAGATTGATGTTTTGCAAATTAACGGTTTACGATATGGTTTTCCTATTTTACCAATTAACTCTGTAATTTGCGATAAATATACAATTCGGTTGCCCTCACCTGTGTTCTCCTTCCCTACATTTGGTGTCGCTGCCTACACAAAGGATGAAGATACCATGGCCGAAGGAATTTGAGGACGGAAATGTGCGGAGCTTCCTGAAGGTGTTTGAGGCCGTGGCGGAGCTGGTGGGTGTGAAGGAGCCGAAGGCGAAGTTGCTGGTGCTGGGGATGCTGCTGAGAGGTAGGGCAAAGGCCGTATACGACAGCTTGAACGGTACTGGCGGGGAGACGACGTGGGGGACATTCACAGGGCGGTTGATGACGGAGTTCCACATCCCAGTGGAGAGGGAGAAAGCGCTGCAGGGGTTCCGGTTGGCGAGGTTGTCGGCTGATGGTGACCCTCTGGTGCTTGCTGTGGAGCTCGCCAGATTGTTGCGCCGTGCACTGCCGAATACCGATGAGGAGTCGGAGGCACAGTTGTTGACGTCGCAGTTTATCGAGAATGTGCCTTCCTCCTTGTCCCAGCAGCTGAGACTAGTAAACGCAGCGCGACCAATGGATATCGGTGAACTGGCGAAGGTGGCTCGTCAGCTGATGACAAGAACAGTAACTCCGGTCGGGTGCGGAAAGCAGGAGATAAATAGTGTTGAGAAGAAGATTGAGGAGCTGGAGCGTAAGGTTGAAACATTACGAGTGGATCATAAAAGGAACGATAAATGTTACGCTTGTGGAGGGGCAGGACATTGGAAGATAAACTGTCCAAGAAGACGACGACGATATTTTAGACCTAACGTGTGTTCTTTCCACTCTAGGAATCTGGAGGTTCTTGCACTAGTAGATAGAGGGCAATTTATGCCAAAGTGTACATAAATGAACAGGAGTTAGTGTGTTTGATCGATACAGGGGCAGCTATATCGTTAATAGGCAAAGAGCAATGTAAGACAATCAAACCATGTACATTAGCTGTCCACTCCATAGGATGGCATATGCTAGAGGTGTTGCGGGTATCTAACAGTATTGTAAAAATGTAGTGAAGGAGAACACAGGTGAGGGCAACCGAATTGTATATTTATCGCAAATTACAGAGTTAATTGGTAAAATAGGAAAACCATATCGTAAACCGTTAATTTGCAAAACATCAATCTATCATCAGTCCATTGTCTGACATTTCACTGTTCATGCGTTTCATACAAATTCCATTGTGTTCCCATTCTTCCTTTCTTGATCTTCCCCCATCTTCTGCTGCCAGACATTACGTTTTTACTTGCGTCATACACTAGTTATAAGTAGCGCGTACCACAATATGACCAGTTTATTCAAAATTATGCAAATTTACCCACTTTTGAAAAGGGTAATTTTACATTGGTTTTCAGAAGAGCCGATGAGACTGCAAATGTGTTACCATTTTAACGTGAACATTTCGGCTCAATCCCTTGTTGCAAATACACGGGTACTTAACATCATGGTGGGCCATTCACACCATTTATATACACTGGTTCATATATAGTGATTATTTTCGATCCATGATCGCGTCAATCAATATACACCGCATGAACAGGCTAATTTGATCCATCTTGCTTACATGACTTTCAAACTCATCATTGTTAGCAATGGTGACTTGCAATACAGCACCCCAATGACAATGGCACTTGGGAATACTGCAAAACAACCACCAGTATCACTGAAATCGGACACCCTGCTAACCAATTTTTTATATGAATTATTAGCAATACTTGACATAGCAATGCAAGGCCATGCACAGCTTACACAGCGAACCTCTGGTCTCATAGGAAACCTCAAGCTGATATAGCAGTATAGCATATTATATACGCATAGTATGGTATTGGATAGCAAGAGATGCAGCCCAGCTTGATGCAAACGGGTCCAATAACTCTTATTTCCCTGTTTCATGTCGGGTAATGATTTTTCACAATAGCGAAATTTTCATTTTTCGACCATAGTAGACCTGAGCTAGGGAAGTAACCCTTGATGAACACCAACCTGAAGTAAGCGATTCCGATGACAGTTCGCCATAAGCTCTAACTCGACGTGTAGTGTTCTAGTAGATAGCTTGTATAAGGTTAATGTATTTCCTTGATACTCTTTTCAATGACAGACACTGCCGCAGAACCTCACAATCGACAGAGTCAAATGCGGCCTTAAGGTCCAGGAAGACAGATATTGTCGGACGCCTAAATGTGTGTCTCAGTTCTAGGACCTGTCGAAGTGTGAATATGTGGTCTTTACAGCCATGTCCAGGTCTGAAACAAGCCTGGTTTTTTCTAGTCTGCTCTTAATGAGCTCTAGTTAGGCGTCTAAGTATAATCGAGGCTAACAATTTAGAAACTATATTAGTTAGATTGATTACCCTGTGATTGTCACAAGAGGACTTTTGTCATTTCTTATAAATTGGGATAATCAGGGATTGAGACCAGACAGATCGGAAAACGTCCTGTTCCCGAATTCTACTTAGGATTTCAGTCAGCAGAATTGCTGAAAATGGACCATCATCCTTAAAAATCTCAGGGGTAAGGCTTTCAGGTCTTGCTGCTCTCCCTTAGTTCAGATTTCCTATACCTTTCTCAACTTCACAAAGGGTCGGGAGACTTATGCCGATTTGCCATTCAGGCTGACTGGAGACTGCGGGCAACCGAAGTGTTGCTGAAGGCTAGTTGAATTGATTCCTGAATTGTCCTGCTCATCTATCCAATCTCCTGGGTTGAGAATGAATGATACAGCCATCCTTTTCTGAGATAGTCTCACTTACAGTCAACTTCCTAATACCGGTTTCCTTGATAAGTCTGAACAGTTGTCTACTGTTGCCCATCGCCGTTATTTTTTCCATCTTCCTTTTTTTCGCTGCCCACCACTGTTCGCGATCACTGCGTAGGCTTTTTATCAGCCTGCGCCTAAGCTGACTCCTCTCCTCATCGTACTGAGAGCCAGGAGGGCTGAGTTTTCGAGCATCCATCAGTTCGGTGGATGCTACTGAGATCCACGGCTTTTCCCTAACCTTATGGTTTACCTTACTGGCAGATATCACTGTTGATTTCACAGCTTTTCGAATGTCGTTCAGAACTGCCGCGGTGTGGGTATCACTTTTTACATTTCTGTCTACCTGTTTTTTTAGTTGTTCGTGAGATATATTCTTAGCTTTATAATCATTAGGTAGAGCACTAAGAGGTTTCCTTACGATATTTTTTTACGTTCATTAAGGCTCAAACAAATACATGCTTTCACCAGATCATGGTCTGAATCTAAAATATCGCTCCAACTCGCTAAAGATCGTTAACCAGAGAGATAATTCGTTGCTCGGTAGCCTAGGTGTAACGAGCGTAGGTAAGTAAGTAACGCAACTCGATAGCTTTTTTCCTCTAGACCCAGCCTCTCAATCCAGAAGTATGTAAGCCAGCCGTCACAAAATTTAGTTGTTTGTCAGGCACGAATAGCTTACAAACCAAGCATATCAGACCACAATACAGCAAAGATTGAAAAAAATGCATTTACACATGAGCAAGCTTAAAATGGCTAATGAATAGGAGATTCGGTGAATGATGAACTGGCAGAAGATTAGGAATAGTAAACCATACAATATCAGATAATGCGTTAACGAGAAAGTATGACAAAAGGAATATAATCATGTAACAGTCTAATTATTTAGTAATTATACGATAATATATATGATTATAATCCACAAGCTAGTCTTAGGAGTTACCATTTCCCTGATCTTCCTCCGGTTATAGTATGAATTAGTATACATCTTACTAGGTAGTCAAAAATATGATTGGATGTATAAAAATCGAACAACAGTCATTGCTAAATTTCACCATTATGAACGAAGTTGCAAGACTAGAAGAATCAGTGTTTTGTAAGACACAGTTTATTGGCAAAATGTGTACACCTTATCTTCAAGAGGATTATCGGATATGTTCTTCCGCACATCTCCTAGTTTTCAAAATATTGTGGTCACGCCATACATCCCGGTCCAACACTCTTCACTTCATCAGTAACTTCAGGGCTACCCTCCACTGCGTACTACTTATATGCTGTGTTGTGAGTATTACATACTACAATATGACTAATTACAGTATTGAGACATTGTATTTGATTTAACCAGTTTCCTTTTAATTTATTTGGCCAAAGTGACATGATGAAATTAATAATCTAACTCATTCGTAGAATGGAACGTGTAATTTCCTCTTGACTATAGTCATCATCGGTCATGAAAGACTTAACAATAAACACGCTAATAATAATTAAACTATGTAACATGAACTCCACGTATGAAGACAATGAACAAAATTGTACGAGATTAGGTTGAATTATCACAAATGAGAACTTACTTAATCCCTGTCTTATTGGCGATTCGTTCCAATTTTTATCAGCATTAGTTTTTGTATTGAAGTTGCATCTTCTACGAATCGCATAGCCATATGTAGAAGACGGAGAAGGCCATGTCAATGTCATGCTGACATCATAATTCCCACGATCAACAGGATGACAAGACAGACTAGAATGAGAAATAGTTCTTGGAACACCCGAATGGTTCGAAGCTATATCCCCGGCATAGTCCCATTTTAAGACATCATGGTTATCGGAAATTACATCCCAATGGGCAAAATTATCTGTCTGTTTCTTTCTATCAAAATATCCCAGACTTTGACTGGAAGAAGGGATTTTCTATAGTGTGGAAAATAGGCTTGAGTAACTTGTATGAAAATGATATTCAAACAATATATAATCTATCAAAAAATTACAAAAGATTCTAGAATAGCTGTTTGCGGTTTTGTTGGTTAGCAGCAGATATCGAAGAAAATTTCGTATACTTGTTAATTGTTTATAAAGAAATCAATATACATGGTATGACGACGTTTCACGAAAATTTCTATTACGGTTAACTGTGTATGGATTCTCCATACTCGTAAGTCATCACAAACAATGAAACGGCAAATGGTGATGCGTGATTGTTCCACAGTTTGTTATTACAATTACATGTTAAACCATAGACAAATGAACTTCATATAGAAATTAGTTATAATAATTACAACTACCTTGGTTTGGTTAAAATTTTGAGTCAATTTATATCCTACTGTAGCTTTAACAAAGACGAAAATACAAATTAATTAATGAGAATAAAAAACACCTCAAGTTTTAACCTAGCAATAAATTTTACAATCTTATCAAGCCGCTATCGCTCTCCTTAAGCTTCATCAGTAAACTATGTAAACGAAGAAAATCAAGACTGTTAGCTTTATTCCCAAACTCCGAATAATAAAGTATTTTGTCAATAGATATGCATGTGGGTGGTCACCCTGGCCAGATTATTAGTTCACCTGATCACAAAAGTCCATTCACATTTGGCGTATGTCGCTTAACATGCTGGTTTTTCTCGACTAGACCAAAATGATTTTTTCTACCACCACAAGATTGCTCATAAGGCTACACAATTGTCGTAGTCGCGTTTCATTCAGCAGGGAGTAGCTATTATTGTAGTTTTAAATCTCATCTTGATCGTTTGAAAAATGATTTTATTTGCTGGTCATATTTTCTTACTTTAGCCGATTCTAAATTAACGTTTTCTCTTACCAGAATTTCTTACGTTAGATTCCCTATATTTTTGCCGCGATCAGTGACTCAAAATACTTCTTGGTCCATTGGATTTTTACGTATGCCTTACTCTTTCAATGACATGTGGTGTGTACTGTTACTATATGGCCTTCACAACCTTTGTTCTAATCAGTTAATCTATTCTTCTCGAGTCATTATTCATAAAGCTTTTGACCCTGTCAATTATTCGAGCACGACTCTGGTTTTTTTTCATGAGTACGTGTGTGGATTGCTATTAAGATATTTATCAAATATCTTAAGAGAAGTATTTTGTAAGTCTAATTTTGTTTGTCAGTTCCTATTGGTCATCCCAACTATCAATGTCAAATACTTTAAACGTTGTTTCCTATTCGACTTCACTGTATAAATATGCATTGTCTGTAACGTTTTATGGTTCGTTCCTCAGTCCGGAATCGTTATTCTCTTCTGGACTCGGATCTCATATTTTCTGGATGCTTGTAGAATACACTTTCTTTTTCATATCAAGTCTTCTTCTTCTACTTCGAGGGGTTTGGGACGCTCGGATTAGAGTAGCCTGTCGTGTCGCCAGATCATCGGCCCTTGCTCTCGTTTACCGACTTAGGTGAACTCGTAATAGTTCAAGCTTATCAGCTGATGTAGTGACGTGCGTTTCGTAACAATCGCTTACTTCGCTTATCACATGTTCAGCTTATTTTTGTCTGATGATAAATACTCAGTTATGCCTTATCACATGAGTTAACTCATTCGCCTTTTCCGCTTCCCTTTGTTATCTGTATGAAGTAGATTCATCCAAAATAATCCGTATTCGGTTTTTTATTACCGCCGTTTCACAAACGGGCTTAGTTTAAGAATAATATACGGAAATTAGATGAAAGATTTATTTCATTAGCATTATTAGTAGTTCGTCGAAAACGGAGTAGAATACCGGGCCACTAAAGATATCGTAATTATTCTGTTTGCCTGATCAATGTACCTTAAAGGTTATCGCTTGAATTTTCATGTTTAATTAAATGAACCCGATAACAAGAATAGAAAACTATCGAAGTTTAGCTTATAAGGCAGTCAGTAATTTTAGTGTTGATTTGTTAATTTTTATAAAACTTTTAATTTAATCAGAATACCTTTCATAATTTTAAAGAACTTACTCTCGTCAATGAACGTGGCGATGTTTTTTGTGAAATGAGTACCAGCGGAGTGTAACATTTCGGTTGATTTATCATTAAGGTTTTATTATTCATATCCAACAGAAAATCAATAGATGATTTTGTGATTTCCACACTGTTGTCTGCTGTTGACATACAATGAGAGGGTGGTTGTGCCGTCGAATTTTTAAGTTTATTAGGAATCGGAGACAGAAATGAAGTCTGTGAAGAAAAATGAACAAATCGTAACTGTGATAGAATGTAAAAAGAATAATCTTTTTAATCAACACATCTAGCCCCATTTAGAGCAAACTCTGGCAAACAGTTCTGTCACAGCATTTCTACAGACAGCAAGAGCAAATGAACATTTATTAGGATCCTCAACTAGTCTCATTTATGTCGAGCTTAGTTATCACCTTAGTATTGAATGTTGGTTGCTTTTTCACTGAATATGAAGAAACGCGGACAACTATTTCTTGCACTTCTTTTCTTAATCACCAAGTTTTATTGTCTCAAGGGCTATTGCACTTCATGTATTCAATACCTGAAACTTTTTTGTAATTTTTAATCACTTAGTGAAGTGGTACAATACCTCTTCTTTTTCACACAGTATTATGGCGGAAACTTTAAAACAAATGATTACTTGACATTTTTGTCTAGTAATAAAACACTCTTGTATCGTACTACAGACTACTACAAGTAAAATTAGTTATCAATACGATTACACAGCTTAAGGAAATGACATCATAAGAGATGGTAAATGCTCGCTTAGTAAATCCAGATATTCCTATTGCTTAGTATTCTCTGACCCGACCGAAGCTGCTACCTTGACGTGGTGGTCGGGCTTGCCTATCGTGATGACCCAACCGAGCTATACTGGCTGGAACACATGTTCCTGCAGGTCCTACCATGCCAGGCAGGTCGATTGGAGAACGATGAGACTAAAAGCAGCTACCCAAGGTCTGAGGGCGAAGTCGTACTGCTGACTGCAGAGGGGTGTGACAGCAGTAACGTGTTTCCCTCGGACAACCAGCATCTGCAGCGATGCTGCCTTCTCACAAGGAAGGAAGGGTTAGAAAAGGTCGGCCCTAAAAATGTCACACCTCCCCTACCTCACGGATTTCCGTCTCCTTGGGTAAGGGTGCCCACTAAGGGCCTTTAAGAACGGAGCTAATCCTCTAAATACCTTTAATAAAAAGGCCGTGCGTGACCGGCCTCAAGCAGTTGTCCCTTGGACTCTGCGGTCACGCACCAACACTAATCCATCTTCCTTTTCAGGTTCGTCAAGAAACAACCTTCCACGGTGTGGGCAGCCAGGAAGTGATAACCGCCCTCATACCCGCAACAACACACGAGACCAAATTGTTCAAAATCAAATCCTTCCTACATCCCCTAATACCTCTCTTATCTCCACAACTAACTCTTCTCACATTCATTCATTACAGTGCACAGCTAATGCAAACGATGCGAGTTCGCGAAACGTCGTTCCTGGTCTCCTTAAACCCCGTTCCAAACTACATGTTGGAGCATTCAATGTACGGACATTGTGTCAAATAGGGCAGCAGGCGTCATTAGCTAGGACTTTAGAATCTCGTTCCATCGATGTGTGCTGCGTCTCGGAAACGCGCATACAGGATCCCAGTAGCATCACTCATTTGACCTCACCATGTCAAGATAAAGAAGCAGCTCGATTTACCCTTCGTGTATCCGGTAGCCCTGATTCTGCTTCTAGGGGCCTCGCCGGTGTAGGTATAGCATTGAGTCGTAGGGCAGAACAATCTCTCCTTGACTGGATCCCTGTAGATAGTCGCTTGTGCGCCGTCCGACTCAACGGGACAGTAAGGACTCGGAAAGATAGGGACACTCGCCGTTGCCTCTTCGTCATATCAGCCTACGCCCCCACTGACTGCAGCCCAGATGATGTAAAAGATGAGTTTTACAGAAAGCTTTCGGACCTCCTCCAAAAAGTTAAGCGCTCTGATATAGTTATAATGGCTGGTGACTTCAATGCACAAGTAGGTAGACTAAGTGAAAATGAAAGACACCTAGGTGGATGTTACGGTCTCGCGGCTCAAAGAACAGACAATGGCGACCGTCTGTTGCAACTGTGCTCAGATAACCAACTATTTCTAGCAAACACTAATTTTAAGCATAGGGAAAAACACCTTTTGACCTGGCGACCCCCGAAGTCGTCTCAACGTTGGACACAACTAGATCACATCGCCATCAGCCACCGATGGAGGGGTTCGATAGAGGACTGTCGCTCGTTCTGGGGCACATGTTTAGATTCAGATCATGCCCTAGTGCGAGCACGTATTTGTTTGAGGCTTGCTGGACGTAGGAAAGACACCGTAAGGAAGCCTCTTAGAGCTTTACTTGATGATAATCAAGCTAAGAAAATATTTCAGGAGGAACTAGAAAAACAGTTAGGCGGCCATGCAAGTGATTCCCATCCGGAGTCAGGTTGGAATGATATAAAGAAGGCTGTGGAAACAGCAGTGATATCTGCCAGCAAGGTAAACCATAAGGCTAGGATGAAGCCGTGGATTTCAGTCGCATCCACCGAACTGATGGATGCACGAAAACGCATCCCACCTGGCTCTGAACATGATGAAGAGCGTAGTCAGCTTAGGCGCAGACTTATAAAAAGCCTACGTAACGACCGTGAACAGTGGTGGGTGGCGAAAGCAAAAGCGATGGAAAAGGCAGCGGCGATAGGCAACACTAGACAACTTTTCCGCCTTATCAAAGAAACTGGTATTAGGAACCCGAATGTAAGTGAGACTATCTCGGAAAAGGATGGTCTTATTATCCATTCTCAATCTAGGAGGCTGGACCGATGGGCAGAACACTTTAGGGATCAGTTCAACTGGCCTTCAGCCACTCTTCGGTTGCCCACGATCTCCAGTCATCCTGAATGGCAAATCGATTTAAGTCCTCCCAGTTTACATGAAGTTGAGAAAGCTATAGGAAATCTAAGGAGAGGTAGAGCGGCAGGTCCCGATAGGCTTACCCCTGAGATGTTTAAGGATGGTGGTCCAGTTTTAACGGTTAGACTGACCGAGATCCTAGGTAGAATCTGGGAAATGGACGTAATCCCATCTGACTGGTCTCAGTCGCTAATTGTCCCAATCTACAAGAAAGGACAGAAGTCCTCTTGTGACAATCACAGGGGAATAAGTTTAACTAATATAGTTTCTAAATTGTTAGCCTCGATTATACTTAGACGTCTAACTAGAGCTCGTGAAGAGCAGACTCGAGAAAACCAGTCTGGTTTTCGACCTGGACGTGGTTGTATAGACTACATTTTCACACTACGACAGGTCCTGGAACACAGACACACATTTAGACGTCCGACAATAGTCGTGTTCCTGGACCTTAAGGCGGCATTCGACTCAGTGGATCGTGAGGTTCTGTGGCAGTGTCTGTCACTGAATGGCGTACCAAATAAGTACATTAACCTTATTCAAGCACTCTACTCGAACACCACTGGTCGGGTGAGAGCATATGGCGAACTGTCATCTGAATTCTCTACATCAAGTGGTGTCCGTCAGGGCTGTCCACTCTCTCCATTCTTGTTCAACTTTGTCGTAGACATCCTCTTAGAGTTAACATTAAGCTCGTCAGATTTTTCAGGGGTTGACCTTCTACCAGGAAAGTCGCTTACTGATCTAGAATATGCCGATGACATAGTTCTATTCGGTGAAGACGCTGACAAAATGCAGAGTCTTCTGACTACCATAAGCAACAATGCGAGCATGTTTGGGATGCGGTTTTCCCCCTCGAAATGCAAAATGTTGCTTCAAGACTGGGTTGCTTCGGCACCTGAACTAGTGATAGGGAGTGAAGTAGTCGAGCGTGTAGATCACTTCACTTATCTGGGGAGTCTCATCAATGCTGACGGTCTGGTGACTGACGAAATCTCAGCTCGGATACAGAAAGCTCGATTGGCTTTTTCCAACCTACGTCACTTATGGCGTAGGCGTGATATCCGTTCGCTAACCAAAGGGCGGGTGTACTGCGCAGCAGTTCGTTCCGTTCTCTTATATGGCTGTGAAACATGGCCGTTAAGAGTAGAAGATGTTCGTAGGTTACTAGTATTCGATCATAGATGTTTAAGAAGCATTGCTCGTATATCGTGGGACAGCCGAGTAAGCAATGCTGTCGTTAGGAAACGAGTACTAGGTAAGGATGGCAGATCAATGGTGGTGAAACTTCATCAGTTGAGGTGGTTGGGACATGTGTTACGTATGCCTAACCACCGACTGCCTCGACGAGCTATGTTTTGTGGTGTAGGAGTAGGTTGGAAGAAAGTTAGGGGCGGCCAGACCAAAACATGGCAGAAATCCATGAAGTCACTGACAAGTGGACTGAGTCATGTTGGTAGATGTAGACTACCTGGTTGGGGTCCGCGAGACGAAAGTCATCAATGGTTAGAGACCTTGAACGACATGGCTCAAAATCGTTTGCAATGGCGCAGGTGCATCCACTCTTCGAGCTCTCTCAAATCCTAATCTTCTGGATTAGCCAGCACCTCTACCTTTGTCTTTCTAACCTTATCTCACTGAATTATATTTTTTGAATAATATCTTAAACCCTAGTCTTCTTTATTATAACATTAATACCTCTACCATCTTTATCACTATGGGATTTGATTTGACATTTGCGTCTCTGTGCTAATAATGTGGTATGGCAACATGAACTTATGTACATACGTACGAAGTTCTACGTTGCAACTGACTGACTGACTGTATTCTCTGACAACAATACACTCGACAAGTCCCCAAATCAGAACATGGTTGAACAGGAAAACGATTATATTCCAAATAGCGAAGTTAAACGGAAGCAAGAAGCCGAAGCGAAGGCGAAATAGGAACAACGTTAGTATCTTTATAGTTTTTACATGAGAAGCTTCTGGAGTGTACTCCACGTGATTGACTAGCGCTAATTGGATAGGAACTAGCCATACTGGATAAAATCATAGGGCCCCCAAAATTATAGAAGTCTTACTAAAACAAGCAAAACAGTCAACAAATCAACGGCAACACAGATTTTCGTGCCTACGTACATCAGTTCAAGCTGCCATAACACATTAGCACAGAGACATAATTATCAATTCGATTCCCATAGTAGTAGAGGTAGTAAAAGTATTAAAAGTAATCAGAGAGATTAGGACTCGAAGATGTTATTCGAGAAGTATAATTCAGTGAGGTAAATCTAGAAAGAGAAAGATAGATGTGATGAGGAATTCAGAAGGTTAGAATTTCATAAAACACAAAGAGTAAATGCACCTGCGCCATTGCAAGCGGTTTTAAGGCATGTCACTCAGGGTCTCTAACCATCGATTATTATCATCTCACGGGCTCCAACCAGGTAGTTGACACCTACCGACATGACCCAGTTCACTTTTCAGTGACTTCACGAATTTGTGACATGTTTTGGCTTGGCCGCTAACAACTTTCTTCCAACCTATTTCTACATCGCGAAACGTAGCTCGACGAGGCAGTCGGTGGTTAGGCATACGCAACACATGTCCCAACCACCTCAACTGATGAATTTTCATTACTTCATCGACTGACCTGCCATCCTTACCTAGAACCTGTTTCCTAAAGACAGAATTGCTTACTCGGTTGTCCCACTATACGCGAGTAATGCTTCGGGGACACCTATGATCGAAAACCAGTAACTTATAAGTATCTTCTACTCTGACTGACAATGTTTCACAGCCATAAGGTAGAACAGAGCGAAATACTGCACAGGACACTCGTCCTTTAGTCAGCAAACGGATATCACGCCTACGCCATAAGTGACGCAGGTTGGCAAAAGCCAATCGAGCCTTCTGTATCCGAGCTGCGATTTCGTCAGTCATCTGGTCGTCAGCGCTGATGAGATTCCCGAGATAAGTGAAGCGGTCTACACGTTCGACTACGTCACTCCCTATCACTAGTTCAGGTGACGATGCAACTCAATCCTAGATCAAACGTTTGCATTTCGACCAGGAGAATCGCATCCTTGGCATGCTTGCATTGTTGCTTAGGGTAGTCAGAAGACTGCATTTTGTCAGCGTCTTCACCAAGTGGGACTACGTCATCGGCATGTTCATAGTCAACAAATGAATCTCCTGGTAGAAGTTGGCCTTCTGAAAGCTTAGACGATGATAATGTTATATCTAGAAGCATGTCTATGAGCAAAGCAGTCAAGCAAGTACTCGAATCCAAACTAGTTCCTTATGGTCATCTCTTGATTAAAGATTTTTAACGACCATGATTTAGTTCATAACTCACTTGCGTCTGACGAATAAATTGCCATTCTACTCAAAGGAAGAATAAATTATAAGTTATAAGCTTTATTTGCTAAATAATAGTTCTTACAATTTATGTCCACTTATATATGATCAAGGCAGTCCAAACAGAGTGCAAAGAAACGATGAGCTTTAATTGGAGTACTGATGAACTATGCCGTTTTTTTCTCACAAATGCCTGTATTTGGCTTATCAGATAACCTTGGTACGCTGTGAAACTTAAAAAGGAGTGTAAAGTCAATTCGCATCATGTATTACTCCGATTTGTTTACAAGCTTTTGTATTCAATTTAAAAATTTAGAAGGCGATTTGAACCCTTGGTAAGCATAACTGAGTAGAAATGAGAAACAAATCCATACACTAGATTCTGATGGTATACTGTACAACGGGCAAATAATAATATAAAATGTCACTGATGAAAATAAACTAATAAGTCTAAGTATATACGTTGCTGTACATTAGGTGGAAGAGTATGAATAAGTGCATGTGATCACCTTCGTCAACATCCAAATTACAACTTTAATAATAATCACAATTATAACTAAGGCATTATTAATAACAACAAACTGTATACAACGGTACGAAAATAACATGAATAATATTAAATAAGGTACCTCTGATTCGCTAATCAAGTTTGGTTGATTTGGACTAATTTCTGAAATGTATGGCACGGTGAATCCTTCCGGTGTTTCACGTCTGTTGTATGAAATTTGTTTAATGTCCTGTTTAGAATCAGTAACTGTTGGTGTTGAATCACTGGTCAGTGAACTTGTCATTGGTGTTAAATCAGGTAGAGTAGACAATGGTAAATACAAACCATAATCCTGACGTGTAGATGGGTCGAGTTGACAGACCCCAACTAATCTGCACTCCATCTGCTGTCAAATTAGTAAAGTATGCAAATAGTTATTTGGTACGTTAGTTAGTAAACAATGAAATTACAGTAAATTAAGCAAATACCTATCAAAAACTTTATAACCTGAGTAATTTGATTTTTAATGTGGTGTATTTTGCTTTCTAGACTACTTAAAACATTTACACTTCTGAGTAATTAGAGGCTTGAAAACTGTAATTGCTGAAAACCTAATCAATAAAAGTATACAATCAGGCTTGATTTAGTATATGAAAGTGTCAAGTCCAAATTCTTGTGTGTTTGCACGGTCATTATCATGATCATCAAAAATGTTTTAATTAATAGCGAATTTCTCTAAATTTCATATATCTTTTGAAACTGAAAATTTTCATCGTAATCTTACTTCAATTTTAATTCATAAGTTTTTTGTCTTGACTGATACAGCAGGTATTTGAAGATTCACTCTAACTGTGAACAACTTATATCGTTAGTTTGCTTTAGACTTAAGATAATTAGGGTGAGTCTAAACATGTTAGATTTGGTTAAAACCAACATTAGGGAGGATTTCTACTATTTCTTCTCTCCTTTTCAACATCCAGATCTCAATCGAAAACGTTCTAATCACATGTTACCAATCACATAACTGCCAGACGCGAAAGCGACTGGTCTCATCACACGTACACAAAACCACCTCTTATCAAGATATTACAACTGTGTTACATTCACCATTACTATCCATATTAGTGGTCAAAGTAGCCTAACTAAACACGACAAATTATATGTATCGTTCCCTCGCATCAAGAAACGAGAGCACAGACACATTTCGATTAATAATAGTTTGTTACAAACATATTAGGCAACTACCTAAACATACCAGACACGAAATGCAATTATATGCTTATTAAAGGGCTTACGCCCTTGGGATGTAATCACAACCTGTTACAAGGCTTGAATGAATGGCATATTTTCATCCTCATTTGGTTTCTGGAAAGAAATTTTATAAGCACTATTATGTCAGCTGTAGTACTTGACGAAACATAAACAACCAGAAGAGAAAAACAAAAGCAAACACGAGGGAAACTAATGGAGAATTCCCTTCATAACTTAAGGGGAAATCAAAGCGAAAGCGCACCAAGAGGTCGCTTTTCCGCCTACCATGAGAAAATAGTGTGAAAATCTCTTTGTCGCTTTGTGTTAAAAATATCGCTGAATTGATTACTTTTCATCTAAACCTACGCCGGACTGTCGACTATTTACTAATATACACGCAGAATTATTGAAAGTCATTAGCGTTAAACTGATAGCAAAAGTTCACACTTGACGAAGAAGCTCAGATAACGAATGTAACCAAACATGATGTTGAATAGATAAAATATAGTGATCACATAAGTGTTTTGACAAAGCTTTCGAGCACTATCCACAATATCTAAGGAAAATGAATAAATAATGGTGCTTCTTGAGCAATAATCACACTATACACTGTTTAATCATTCTTTCCTTCGATGCTACAAATGAGTCTCATTAATGAAACCGAATTTCCGTACTTTTGAGAAACTCTTGAGTCTCCCAGAATTTTATAGGAGATTTCCTTGAAGTAAGTCAGAATTTTTGATGATTTGGATGCATTTCCGAGACGGTTACTATGTGACCTTCCTCAAAAATGATCAAATTATCCCTAAATTGAGGAAATTAGAAAATTATCTGCAATAACGAGCATAATTTTGATGTGGTGTTTATCTATCACGACGTTAGCGTGTTTGTTTTTAAAATCATCAAGTGGGTTCAATAATTTAAACTACTGAAGGACAATTCTTTTAAATGTTAGTGAAACAATCAAATTACATACGCTCTAATATTTGCCCAGAGAACCAAGTTGTCAACTATTGTAGCGGTTTGCGTCTAGCCAGCAGGTGCTTTGCTTGTTGAGGGAACATGCACAATAGCTCGAATAAGGAGGATTGAAAAAGATGAAAAGATAGCTAAGCCAAAGATCCAAAACGAACACAAAATGCACTTGATATCAAAAAAATTGTAGTAAACAACAATTATCGGTCTCTCAGGCTTCTGATTGGGAGGATCTGGAAGGAGAAACTGGGCTATAACAAGATGGAAACATGACGCTAAACACAAATAGTTGTACTATAAGCTCACTAATGTGCTGATGCGAACAAACAAATTCAATGTATCCAATATCTTTTCGCTGAGCTCGATTCTTGGTCTTTTGGTATGGTTCCAGTTATTTTGCGGTGTCTAGTGAATGAAAGTCTAGGCACTTAGTAAACTAATTCTACTCAGTAGGCAATTGTTTGTGAGTATATATGTCCTGTGATTTCCAATATCCAAGAGCTAGTATAAGCCAGTTAATTTCTTTGCGCTCGATTCCACTTCTTTCGGTACGGTTCCTGGAGTTTTGTATGAATCCGTTTGTCTGTGGGCATGAGGGATTCTAGATACAAACAGCTATCATGTCAACAGGCTGGAGATCAGTTAGTTGCAACGTGGAGAAAAATAAGGAGAAATTTATAATTCTAATTAGATTAACAGGGTTAACTAAAAAGATAATCTGGTTTAGCAGTTGTTAGTGAGGATTGTGAGAGAGGACCGAAGTTTGGGCGAGTGAGAGGAAACAGAGATGATAAGCGCGCGCTTCGTAATTGAAGTGACCTTGTTGACTTCCCTCCATTTGCAGGAAACAATCCAGGTTCAGACACCGGATTGAGATATATAATCACTCCCGAAGATATAAAAGTTGTCTCCATTCACTTGTTGACTATCGGACAGGAGGAATCATTCCAACTCAGAACCACTGTGCGATAGTTCTAGCTGTCTCCATCAGCTGCTCTGTTCATAGTTGCTTCGGCAGCCTACACATATTCTTTCACTCGCAAACACAGTACTTGTGGACAAGTTACTAAATACACTTGAAGTTGCTTACTAGAAAGGTTAAAGGTAAAGTTGCAATTTTGGGTGACCTTCGGGTTCGATTCTTTCGTAGTTATATTTGTTTACTTTCCTTAATTCCTATTTCATGTATTTTCTTTTAATTATCTCGTTGTTAACCTCTAAATCTCTCTGGTATCATGTTAAATAAAAAGGTTGCTAGCACAGCTTACACTACAAAAACCGGGAAAACCTGCAGAGGTAGGAACGCTGAGGTCAATAGTGGCTCGAAAGTCCCAGTCTCAAACGACAGGGTTGTGAAGAAACTGAAATTGTCACTCGAAGGCACCCCTCAGATTAATGTGCATAGTTCGGAACAATCAACCGAAACAACTCCACTAGGTCTCAGAAAGAAGAACCAAGACATCGCTCCTCCTTATTATATTCATAAAAAGACCAGTAGGACCAATAAAAATAGGAGTATAAGGCGTCCTAAGTGTTACGGGAGAAACGAAGACATTTTGCTGATCAAAACCTTCATGTATAAATATCATTAATTTCACTGTTTTTGGGTACATTTGTTTTACTTAACTTGTGAACTTGTTTGAATTATTATTTGCGGACATTTTGGACTCCCGTTTCTCTTGGTTGTTCGTTTGCAGTTTTTTGCTCTAAGAGCCAATAAAATAGAAGGTAATTGTAATTATTATAATTATTGTTGTTAGAACGACATTGGTCGTCTATTTGTAATAAAGTATTTTGGTCGAATTTGTGATTTGGAATAAACTTTGGTATCTACTTTGGAGTTTCGTTCTTGGTTTAAACATTTGGGATCGTGAATTACAAATAGTTCGACAACCGTGCTTCGTAGGATCAACGGGCAAAAAACTGGACGTAACAAAAGTTCTTCTAATTTAGTTTCGTCATATATTGGATTTTTTATGGTCGTTTGGCTCCAGAGGTTCTTCAATTCAATTTTTGGTCGCTGGAAACTTTTGGAAATTTGGGTCCAATAGTTCTTCTAACTTTTAATTTGGTCGTTGGATACTTTGGACAATTCAATTTTGGTTCTTTGGTTATATTTTGGATACTTTTGGACATTTTGTTATTATTGGTCGAATACGTTTGGATTAATTTCACATTTGCTTGGTAATCGATTTCGAATAAAAGCATACAATGGAAACTAGAAGCAAAAGGCTGAAGGAGCAGGACGAAATGGATGGTAAATTTTCTAAAGCTGTTTGTGGTATGTCTGATGTTAATGATGATAAACTTGATGATATTAGTGTTAATAGTAAGTCTTCATCTCAGTTTAGTACTTCTAGATTGAAGTTAGATAAGGCATTACTAAAGAAGAAGAATTTGAAAAATGGAGACTTGAGTTAGAAAGGCAGTTTAAAATGTTAAATCTTCAAGAGGAAGTTGATATGGCCGAATAAGAATATAAGGTCATAGGAAACGATAACCAACCGTCAGTAGACAAATCTGAGATAAATGCTAAGGTCGAAAGGTATTTGGATTGTGATATTGCGCGTAATAAGGTAATTAACGCCTCAAAATGCGATTGTATTGATGAATTAAAGGACACGTTACGTACTGCGGTTAATAATACGGTTTTCCCAGGATCGATATGATGTTTATTGACGGACAACCAAGCCAGTACCACCGTTTTATTAGTCAGTTTACAAGCATTATAGAGAGTAAACTGTCTGACAAGTGCCAGTTGTTGTCATATTTGTCATACTATTGTAAAGGAAAGGCCAGAACGGTTATTGAAGCTTGTATTTCTTTGCCCAGTCACTTGGGTTACGATAGGGCTAAGGAAATTCTGTATGATCTGTTTGGTAAAGAACATCTTGTTGCCCCTATTCTTATTACTGAATTACTTAGCCACAAATCTGTTGAAGGATCCGCCGATGGCCTAACTGACTTCGCAATTAAGTTACGTAATGTATATATAACATTGAAGGAAACGGGGTATATGTCTGATGTGAATTCTACGGCTAATCTGGAAATAATTGTATCACGTTCATCCCTAGAATTACAGAATAAATCGGTGGAAGCTGCTGATAGGATCATGATGACTGGTAGGGAGCCTATCTTTGAAGAATTAGTTATGATTGTAGAAGAAAGAGCCAGGAT